CCAATTCTTCATCTATGTAATAGCAGATCAGCTCCGAACACAATAACTAAATAAATAAAAACATTTAAAAAACAATGAACTCCATGTCCGAGAAAGTATAATCTCCAACAACGAGAAATATCACAAGAAAACAGAACAGGAGTTGGAATTGACTTAAGCAGGACCAACAGAAGAAGAACGAGAAATTGATACCATTTTGCGATAGATTTGATCGGATCGAAAATATCGTGCTGGTTCCGGATCTAGCTCCAACGGCTATAGCTCAAGTAAAAACAGCAAAAGATCTTGCAATTCGGAATGATGAAAACAAAGGAAATGAATATTGAATGTCTAAGCTATATCTACCAAGTGAAAACTATGATTATAAGTATATACTGATGAAATTGAATGAAATGGAAAAGGCTTAAACCCTTCAACTACGACAAAAGTTTTGATGAAGAGGTTAAGCCCTTCCTTTGCTTCCTCTCTTTTCTTCTTCTATTCTCTCCCTTTCTTCCACCATCTTTGTCTTCTGCTCTAAGTTTATTTCTTCTTGTTATTATTATTGCATTAAGTAAATTATCAAATTAAATTACTGTGAATTAATTAAAATCAATTTAGCATGATGGTAAACGAAACGTCTCTTGCATTGCACTGCATTGCACGAGCGAAATCCCCGTAGTACCCGTCTGCGATGTCATGAATTACGAAACCTCTCTTCGAAATGAATATGAGAATCATTTTACCTCCTTACCGGCTGAACAAGTTATCCTTCTTTGTTTTTTTATACGTTCAATAAATCAAATATTTATTATATTGACCAAAAAATATTCCTTTTATCTCATATCCTTGGCTGTTTTTATTTGAATTTTTCATGTTTATTTATTAATAACAATTAAATATTTTACATAATAAATAGTATGTGCAATTAGTAGTGAAACCTTTGGTGTATTAAAAAAGAAAATAAGGAAACCTTTCCACTGGCAGAAATTTTAAAAACAAAAGGATAATAAATTAAAGCGTGTAAGAAGATAACAAAGAAAATATAATAAATCATATACTTGCGGGGCGGTAGCACGTCTTTCATGGAATCGGCAAGTACTGTAGACTTCTTAAATAAAAGAGAATATAAAGATATATAAATTAAAATAATATTTTATGACAAAGATTAAATATAATTATTAAAAAATATTTAAAAGTTTTGATTTTGAGCATTCTTAAAATTAATTTAAACAATAAAAAAATATTTTATTGATAATTTATGAATATTTTAGTGCATTGAAATAGTTTAATATTTGATTAAATTAATATGACCAATAATTATCAAATTAAGGAAAGTGCGATTTTAATGAAAAATAATAATTTCATTTTATATAAAAGTTTAAAAGATATTTGTTATGTTATTAAAAAAACATATAATTGAATGGGAGAGAAAAAAAATTACAAAAATAATTTCATTCCAAAAAAGTTTATTCTGCTTTATAAGTTTAAAAAAAAATTACTTTCATGTATAGTTTTCTTCTAATGTAATAACGCTTGTTTTTTAAGAGACAAGTATTAAGACCAGACTGAAACTAAAATTTAGATAAAACATGAGAATGCAATAAATCTTTTAAGTGTGTAAACAGTGAAAGATTTAAATTTCACCATCACTTAGAATAAGTAAACTTACATCTTTACAATAAAATACTTTCATATATATTTAAGTGGTATTAAAAAATCGGTGACTAAAATAACTAATTTTTTAATGAAAATATACAATTTATTAAAAATAGTACATATATATATATATATATATATATATATATATATATATATTATATAAACTAAATGTATCTTTCATCGAAAACCATTATTTTTAAACGAGTGGAACCACCAGCAAAATCAGCACAATTTGTGACAGTGTATATAAGTTCATTAACTTGACTTGCATAACAATTTTACCATTTATCTTTATTGAAGGTAGATGTATATCGCCGCTGGAGGCTAGAGCAGGTGTTAACGTGTATCGCACGAGTAATTATTCTAATTTATATTAATCCAATCATTAATTTATAACTTAAAATATTAATTATTATCTTAAACATACCGATTAAACATATAAAATATAAAAAACATTATTCTCTCTCGGTGATACAATTTTTAGATTAAACAAATTATTATTATTTTATTAGATGCCTTTAATTTCTTACCCAAGGCTCGCGTCGCTGGATTTTGGTAGCGTAAACATGGCATACTAGTAATTAATAGAAACTGTTCGGGCATTGAGGAAAACCGTGTGTAACTAATTTAAATAATTAAATAATTATTAATTGTAGGAACTTGCCAAGCGTTGTATTTTTTTCTAGTTAAGAAAAATAAATAAATTAAAAATGATATTGTAAATATATTAAAAAAAAATTTGGCATTAAAAATAACTTTTAATATTTTTCATTTTGTTAATCAATATCTTCAATATTTTCATTTATACTGTATACTCATTTTGATCCTATTTAAAAAGTTCTTCCAATTAAACTATACATATTAAGAAGAATAGTTAAAATTTGTCAATGTATTAACTCCTGAAACATTAATAATAAAGTTACAAATATTTAATATTTTTAAATAGTAAATACAACAATAAATAATTTAAAATATTATAAAATCTCATATTAGAGAGCATTGATTTAAAAAAAAATAAAATATCAGAATAAATATATCACTGAAATGGGACAAATATTGAATGTAATATTTTAAATATTTTAATGTTTATTTTTTAATTAAAAATTTACTTTAACAACTACATGATAAATTTTAATATTAAAAACCATCATTAAGCTTTGAGATAGAATTTTAATTCGAATATTAATTAAAGAACAGTTTCAAAAACACAAAACAATCTCATAAAAGAAACTGTCCTAAACTAAGAAGAATAAGGAAACCCCCAAAGAAAAGCTTACATGGAATCGATAGCAAAGCCTACTAAACGAAGATTAATAAACCCCCAATCAAATTAGCCACGTGTAAAGAAGTATATTCCCTGAAATTGTCCTAAACTATTTGGGGGTTTGAATGGGACCCACAGAAAGATTTTTCAAAAGGCAAAAATGAAAAAAGCTCAACACGGGACAGCTCGTTATACACGGTTTCGCAAGATGCATCCAAACAAACATTAGATTTTATTTTATTTTATTTTTTAAAATTATTTTAATTTCTAAATGATCGTTGCACGACCCATTGGATAAATTAATGCATATTTTTAAGTATTTTTAAATTACATTCTTGTATAATTAGGACCATAAAAATGAATATTGTGATTGGCCAAAATTATTTAAAAATAAATAAATACTATGAAATTTATAAAAAAGAAAAAAAATGAAGCTTTCATTGTGGGGTTCGCAAATGCGCTTTTCCCCTATGAACGTGATGAGTAATGAGTAATCATAGGAAGAAAGTGTGCTTTTTTGGGACACAACTTGGCAAAACGATGGCGTCTGGTCACCGCCTTGATATACGGAGTCCATTAGGATATTTGCTTTTTTGGGTCTGATAATGGTCCACACTCCACACACCCCTACCCTACAAAACGTAAAAGCCGTAAGGGTACCTTCCATGTCACTATCGGTGCCCTCTTGAGAGAGACAAACCTCAGGTTGCAATTTTGTATGACAAATTCTTACTACATATATCTTCTGTTTGGATTAATGTGACTTTTATAATTGTAATATGACTTATAATTGAAATAATAGATCACAATATTCTTTACTTTTAAAACACACTAATGATTTTTCACTTCGATAATATTTTCATAATGGATGTTCTTAAAAGTGTATTAAGTATAGTTAACAACCGATAAATGTTGCAAATTAAGTGCAGCTGATTCATAAATATAGAGTCACATGTGCAAATGTGAACTTTGAACTAATACTATTATTCAACTGCATATATTATTTTTATTTTATCACCTAGCAAGTATATGAAGCACAGCTCATTTGACATGCTCAACCACATGGACAAACGCAGCACGACAGAACCCAAACGTGAACATAAAGCAAATAAATGAAAACCAATTGGTTTCCAAGCTTACAGGGAAAAAAAATTGAGTTGAAAGTTTCCAAAATAATGAGTTAGATGCATATCAGACTCAGCCATTTGAGTTCTACTTGGTGATAAAATATACTTTCAATTAGCCATTGTTCTTTTATATCTGCATCATCTTAATTCTTAAGGGACATTGACGTGCCCGTAACAAACAAATGCACAATTCTTTGTACGCAACTCTTATTAGAAGTGTAACTCTAGGACTTTGTCATAATCTTCATATCCTATTTTGATTAGAATGATCAAAACTAATTCTCCATCGCCCATATGCAAATTTTATTTTTCGTCACATTTATCAGTTGTTAATTAAAAAAAATTGCCCATATTTTAGCGTCATTCAAAATTCAGCATTAGAAATTTTTAATTTTAATATTTTGTGTTCAAGTAAAATAAAAGAATTATTTTAACATTAATTTTAATATTCAACCATTTTTTTATCTACTCTCTACACTTCTCCCCTTTTTGTTTGATCAATTTACCTATACTTCTGTTTTTGTTTTAGTCCATCGATTCCAATAATTACACTAATGATAAAAGAGAACCCAACAACCTATAGCCCAAGGCAATACAACAATGTCATCAGAAAAAAACACAAATCTACCCTAAATTGAAGATTTTCAGAAGAATTAAAATTTCAAAACAAGTTGTGATGATATATATTTTAATGTAATCTTATTCTCAGCTTTCTGGAATCTAAAATGGAAGAAGCATCTGATATTAGTTCGAAAAGTAGTTTCTGCGAGAAAATGTAAGGGTCAGAATTGAAAATATTTGAACAAAAATTTTGAAGAAGGTGTAGGCACCAACTGGTTTGTTGGCCCAGTCCATTACGGAATCGAAAACTAAATTTAAAAAAAAATTGTCAAAATTAATAGTTGTAAAAATCCCAAAATACCCTTAATCCATAAATCCCTAATTTCCCAGCTCCCTCGGGCACACACGAGAACCCTTTCGCTGTTCTCCCTCTCTCTGCCCCCTCTCCTCGCCGGAGACGACATCATATCCGGCCTTTTTCCGGCGATTTTGATTGCCGTTCATCACTTCACTCTCCTCTTCTCAAATAACAGAACGGTGAGACCGCTCACTACCCTCTCTTACTGTTTTGCGTCCACGTCGAGTTATCAACTCAATAGCTTCACTTTGTCTTATGCATTGAGCATTTTTTGGTATTATATATGTATTTATGTATATAGTTTAGATTATATACGTGAATAGCGTAAGTTCAAATGCATAGGTTAGATTATATATGCCTTCAACAAAATTTTAAAATAGCGGCATTAGGCTATATGCTATCCTTGTATTGGGTTTTTGGAGTCAGTTATGCATCTGAGTAGACCGAAAATTCGATTTTTTGGAAGGGACATTAAAAAGGTAGCTTTCTGCCTGGAACCTTGGTCGATCAGTCGTTCAATCCTTTCCTCTTGTTCAAATGCATTTCTAAAGATTCTCACAACACAATGGACTCCCCTACTGCACTGAGACGGACCCAGACCCCCTACCGAAATGGCTATGTACTGTTCTTTATATCAAGCGATAGCTTTCTCAGAGCAGTTTCATGAGAGGGGGGGGGGTAAGCGCAATTCTTCGATTCTTTTTTAGATATAAAAATCTAAATCGGATAGGATAGATGGATGGGTCTATCTCTCTCTCTCTCTCTCTCTCTCTCTCTATATATATATATATATATATATATATATATATAAAATGGATTTCTTTCTATAGATAAGTAGCGTAGCAAGAAGCCCCAAATCAAGGATTTTGCCAGGAAAGACTGCACTGCTTTGGGCCCAGGAAGCGAAGGGAATGAGCTCGGCTGCTTATCCTCCACACTGGATTTTCTCCTCGCCCTGCGCGCCATTGGGGATTGATAACTATGATTTTAATGTGCCTTTGTTTTTATATAATGATGTTATGCTCAGAAAAGGCATGCAGAGAAACTGGTTTTGTAGTATTGAAGTACCGTATGAGTGTGTGTATGGGTTTTCTGGTTCTGGTCATGTGGTTTAGAGTTGAGTGGGTTGGGCTGGTCTACATTGATGGAATGTGTGATCTTCTTCTTGTATAGTGACTTCTCAATAAAGGGGAAAGTTACTTCTTTATTGTGCTTTGATGTTCTTATTTAATAGTGTATTGTAAGAATTTCAAGTTTGACATTTGATTTTGTTCTTCCTCGTTGAAATCATGATTTATATAAATTGTTCTTTGTTGTTTTCATTTTTTCCAGATCTGTATTCGGGGTATTCCCTGTGATAATACTTATCTCATGGAGGAAAAAACCAAGAAGAAAAGGTCTAAGATTGACCTAAGTGATTTGGGAAGTAGTTTTGATTTGGATTCAAGTAAAAGAAAGAAAAAGGAGCCCAAGGAGAGGGAGAAAAAGCATGCAACTGACAAAATACTCAAGTCAAATGAATCCCTCGAGGAAGATTGTACTGTTGAAGCAGCTGACAAACAAACTTGCTCTGTTGAAGGGAATGTCACACTCATGTGTAATGAGGAAGAAAAGAGCCCTGAAAATAAGAGTAAGAAGAAAAAAGAGAGAAAAGGTGTTGAGGTAACAAATAGTAACATTGCTGATAATCAAGAAGTGCAGGTCTTGGATGTCAACCAGGAAAGCAAGATGAAGAAAAGAAAAAAAATTGATTATTCATTAAATGGAATGCAAGAATTGATTTTTTCAAAACCAAGCAAAAGAAGTAAAATGACAGAAGATAATGAGTTAGAAGGCAACGAAGGTGAAGATGATGACCAAGGCAAGAAGAAGAAGAAGAAGAAGAAGAAGAAGAAACTGTGTGAACAAAGCAAAAGGAAGGAGCATGGTGAGTTCAATAGCAATGAAGGTGATTCACCTTTGACTAGAGTTGAGTCAAGAGATGATAATGCAGGTTTCATTGACACTGATGTTGATGATCAAAGCAAAGAGATGAAGATAAAGAAGAAAGTTGAGGCGGATACTGCTGAATCAACTAACCCTGGTTCATCTAAACGCAAACGGGTAACTTTTTCTGATAAAGTGGATGTTTGTTGTGATGGCTTAGTGCGTGGGAAAAGGTTTACGCCAAAAGAAGATGAGAAGATTAAATTGGCTGTTTATGACTATATAGAGTCTCATGGTTTGGGAGACGAAGGTCTAGACATGATTCTCCATTGCCAATCTCATCCTGAAGTTAAAGATTGTTGGAAGGAAATTGGAGCAGCCTTACCTCAGAGGCCTATGTATAGTGTGTATTATCGGGCTCATATTTTGTTTGAAAGAGATGAGAAGCGTAAGTGGACACCTGAAGAGCTTGAATTTTTACGGAAGGTCCAGGAACAACATGGATCTGATTGGAAATCAGTAGCTGAAGCATTGGGTAAACATCGATTTCATGTAAAGGATGCATGGCGCAGAATAAAATTAACAAATACAAATAAAGGGCGATGGACCCAAGAGGAATATCAAAAATTATTTGATTTAGTAAACCTGGATCTACGTGCGAGAGCTTCAGATGGTTATAGAAAATCAAAACATGGTATGTTGCGAGATAATATTGGTTGGGAGGCAATTGGTGATAAATTGGCCACTAGAAGTAGTGCACGCTGCTGCAAAAAGTGGTATGAGCAATTAACGTCACCTATGGTTGCTAGTGGTGCGTGGAGTGATACTGATGACTATCGTCTGATTAGTGCTTTATTTACTCTGGATCCTTGCACCATGGCAGAGGTAGATTGGGACAATCTGCTTGAGCATAGGCCTGGTGATGTATGTAGAAAACGATGGAACCAAATGGTTCAATTTATTGGACAGCATGGGGGGAAGCCATTTGGTGAGCAGGTTGAAATTCTTGCAAAAAGATTTTGCCCTGACTTATTGGAAGTGAGGGAGGCCTTTGATGAAAAACCTCTGCGATGTTGACATTATTATCCTATTGGGTAGAGTGATTTTGTAAAATGGGAATATGTATTAGTTTATGATTTTGTTGTTTTTGTGGGATCATTCAACATATCAAATTGGATTCTGAATTGCAGTTTTAGGGTAGTTTATAGCAGTGTTTGCTTGTAATGGATGAATTTCACCCTTCTTTTGTCCTTAGTCCAAAGTTGGAAGTTATTTAAACATGTTTTTTTTATTAATGTGACAGTGTAAGTGAAAGTTTGATGCTACTTATGGCTGCTTGTTTGATTTTGGTCTAATTAGTTTTGCTAATTCCATCGTGAACTTCATTTGGTGATAAATAAATCTTTTGGGGCCTATTTGTTGGCTTAAACAACGATTGATGATAAATAAATCATTGAAGAAGAAAAAAGATTGAAATGAAATGAACTGAAGCTGCAAATTTTGCAGTTAACTATTTTCTGACTCTTTCCCTGTCTCCATTTCTTGTGTTTTATCATTTTTGGACCAATACCTGTGACATGATTTCAACCAGCAGTTAATGCATGAATGACAAGGAGAATTTGTTCATCAGTAGTTAGAATAAAATAAAAACTGTGTACTATCATTATTCATCATGAAAGTTTTTTCTGCTGGTGAAACTGTTGAAAATTTTAATTGCAACTGGACTCATTCTAAGTGTGGTTTGTCAGGAAGACCCGAACTTGTATACATACCCTTGGATATCCTCCAATGATACCAGACGACCTTACAGAATCAAGTTTGGTATCTGCATTGGACGGAGCAAGAATTGTATATTTTGATGCGAGGTTGTATGAAACTGCTATTATCGTTGCTCGTGAGTTTATAACCTATATAATTTACTTGCAATTCTGATATAAACCTGTGAGGCCATAATCATATTTCAGATTGAAAGTACAATAACGAAAATAAAGTTGAAGCATGCAAAATTTCAAAGAAGCATACACTTTTATACAGTATTTAGTATAAAAGTCAACATTGATTTCTGCTAACATTTTTTTAATTAAAAGAATACCCTGTCAGCACACCAATGTGAATGGTTGAAAATGAGACAGCAGTAACTTAAATGATAGAGAAGTGTGAGAGGACGATAGTATTTCAGAAAAATGTAATCTGCAATGCATAGAGAATATTGCAACCCATCAATCAGTAAAATCAAAATTGTTTGTGTTTCTCATCCTAATATTCATTCTTTTTCTTTAATCACTTTGTATCCACTCTGTTTAATTTTTTATTAGCATTGCTGATGCTATGAGTAACTTTTATGTAACTTCCCTTGATGTCTTGCCTTCCTTTTTTTGTTTTTCTTCATAAAGGAGGTTGGAGGTGAGAAAATAGAGCTTCTTCTGAAGGGAAGTAAACAAAATATATTTTTTTCCAGTGCAGGCAGTTAGGAAGAATATACGTAATTGATGCAGAAAGGCCAAGGGAAGGGTTGGATGATCTCCTGAAATTAGCTGATTATGTTGTATGTTCAGCGAAGTTTCCGAAGGTAAGTGCATTGTTTAACCTGAAAATGCTCCCATAGGAAATGTACAAAACTAGAGTTCTCTCGTCAATCTTGTCTTCATATGCAGAAATTTTGAATTGATTTTAACAGTCCACATTTCTGTTTTATCAGTCAACCAATAAATATATTAGTTACTGAATAAAATATATGCTGTCTTAGCATCAGAAGAAAAAGAAAAGACTATACTCTTTTTTATTTTGTGTGTGGTCTGCTGATATTGTAATATGTCTATTTGCATATGTTATTTCAGTTATCTTATCTATAAGCTATTTTCATTTTGTGATGGGAAAGGGCATTCCATGTGATACCAATGGTGCATATCATTTTCCTTTTTCTTGTTGCTATAGCTTTTTTAATTTCATGTACATATTTTTCATTTATTTATTGAACCCTTGTTTTTACACTATTCTGTGGGGTAAATTTATTTTAAGCATCACTAAATACACTCACGATCTACCATTTTCTGCTGACAGGCATGGACAGATGCATCAACTATTCCACAACCACTTGTTTCTATGCTTTTAAGGTTGCCCAACATAAATGCTTTTCTTGGTTGGGTTGTGCTTAAAATCTGTGCTTTTCTGTGCCTTCAACAAAATTTGTTATCATGCTTGCAATACAATTTCAACTTCAAGAACTAAGCTGACAGACAATGAGGGTTTACAACTGATGAATGGCTAAGAGGCTCATGATTGAGCTTAGCTTGATGTTGAAAGCTCTTGCTTATTAATCTTTTTAAAATGGGTTGGGTCGTATAACTAGTTCATTGAGCATTGTGTCGTGATAAAATAGTTGTGAAATATTGCTTTGGTTGTGTTGATTCGGATCTTAGCCAATGAAGAATTATTTGGTATCACATTTGAATTGCTTCCAAAGGTACATCCAATTCTTAGAGGTAGATCCACTACCCATGAAGCAGGTTGAAGATTCAGTTTGGCAGTGGACATGAGAACAAAAGAAAAGGTTGGAAAAAATTAAATTATAATTCGCCGTTGCCGGGGATCGAACCCGGGTCGTCCGCGTGACAGGCGGAAATACTTACCACTATACTACAACGACTTTGTTGAAGTGTTCAAAGATATAATTTATTTGACCGTAATATCATGTTAATGAAAATAAGTTGTAACTGAATGCGAAGGTCCTGTGCATTTTTTTGTCGTGTATTTTATAGGACAAATATTGAGACAACCTCTTTTTTCAAAAAGGACAAAAGAAAAGTTGGTAGAAAATAGTGGGTTTTTCATAATTCGGAACCCTCCCTCCAAAAAAGGCTATAAAAGATATCCACCAAAAATTGTTTTAAAAAAAGTGAATAAAAAGTGAAATGACAAATTTATTTTTCTCCCAATTATAGTTAAATTATTATTTAATCAATTACCTAAAAAATCTACTCGTATCCTAATCCTTTTTTTTATTAAAAAAAATCATTTGAATAAAGCTTGAATTATTTTAATTCTTGAATACACCCGAGGCTTGATGTATCAAGCTTTATCAGCTTTTGTATGTATTTTTTTAATTATTTAATTTTTTTTATACTAACCCAATTTACTTTTATTTATCATTTTAATTCATTGGTTAATAGATAATCTTTTTTCTTGCTAAACATTAAGTACGCTTTTTAAGAAATCCCAAAAATAAAAAATGATAAGAAAAAACAAAAGAGTATAAAAATAAAAAATTTGAAAGCTCTAGATTATTTTGTTAGTTTGTTCATTTGATTTATTATTTCTCTTTATTTTATACTAATAGGCACGTTTCCTGGTTAAAATTATTTTTTCAAAAAAAATAAACTCTCTTAATTACTAAAAATTAACTAATGTATAGTTATTATTTTTAAAAAATCAATTGACTTTAATTTGTTGCACTTGAAAAAAAAAACTGAAGTAAAGTCTAAGCTATTAACTTTCATAGATTTTCCTTACTTTTCTCATTTTTGTCTTTATTTTATTATTCTTTTGACATGAAAATACTTTAATTTTTTATTATTCTTATAAATATTAATGTATAGTTTTATTATTATTGTTGTTGTTTGTTAATTTTTGTCACCGTTTGATATGGGAGAAAATAAAAGGTGTAATGATTTCCATAATTAACTGCGATATAAGAGGAATGTATAAAGATGTGACGAACTTCAATATCCACCTTAAAAAAACTTCTAGGTTTCTAATATTTTTACTAACCAAATAAAGTTGCTGGTAACACCCTTCTAAAATTTTTTTGTATTTAAATTTTCGGTTTTCTCCCATTGCACAGAAACACATAGTAATCCATGATGGGAAGTCAACAACTGATAGCAAAGTTAAAAAATAAAATCAAAATGGGAGATAACATTCAGTTCCTCCCTTCAACCGTGAAAAATCAAAGAAATAGAAACCAAAATTTTTAAGCGGAGCCAAAATGCCCAAGATCATTAACTCCATTGAACAATTCAGTTGAATATCCTGCTGAAGACATCTCATATGCACAAGACCGGTGGAAAATCTAGTGAATAAAGGATGCTAAGCGTGGGTCTGCACGGTAGGGAAGACCACTTCGTGCTCCTAGATCTCTGCACTTGGCACCTGCCTGAAATGGCATTGAAGTTCATAAGCTCTTGTACCTAACCCATCCCCATAATAGGTTGAATACATCTAAATTTTCCTAATTGAAGTACAAATAAGGCATCCTCTGTGTGTGTGTGTGTGTAATGTAACTGCTTGAGTACAAGACCACATACCACATTAGCAGCAAAAGATAGCATTGTCTCTGGTGAAAACTTGGCACAGATAGCTGAAACCAAATCAAGCACAAACCAGATCTCATCCATATATATTCACAGAGGAGAAGTTTACATGGTGGTCATGAAGTTTAAATGTATGACGTAGAAGGTTTTATGCAAGTCGCACATCTTATATCATGAATTCGTGACCTTTCAAAGATCATGAGGAAAAGATAGAACGAAGTTGTTGCATTACCATAGATAACTGCTCCAATAAATGCATCCCCAGCACCAGTGGTATCAACGAGCTCTGATGATGGAATGCTCTCAGCTGTTCCAATGTATAACTTCCCACAAACGGTTCCTATCCCCTCTGCCTTCAATTTTGCCACTGACTGGGTGAATTAGAGGGGAAAAGTTATGACTAAAAAGTTGAAAAAAAAAAAAACCGAAATAAGCATGTAATTATTTCACGTTATTATCCCTCTTTCTAGAACTTCCAGGATCCAAGTTATTCATTGTCACTATGCATGCCAAGAAAAAATTCCTCTGCAACACACTCGATTCAAGAAAAAACCTACTATGAAATTAATATTTAGAAGAGATTAGGTCGAATGTTGTAATTCTAAGTTCTAAGTAAGTTATACTGGTCTATTTGTGGACAATTAAAATTGCCTCAGTTGTTTAAAGATTTCAGTGTCTTCCAGGTCAAAGATTGACAAATGAATGTAGAGCTATTAAATTAGGTCACAATTTCTGCATAGATTTTCTGGCGTCCCTATAATGTCTTATTAATATTGCTAGATAATCTAGGCATCTTAACAAAAAAACAACAGTGTTTTCTTTCAGTTTGGTTTTTGGTACCGTCTAGAAACAAATAGTTATACAGCTTACTATCTGAACAGTTGATAAAAAAGGTCACCTCATGTCTGAGGGTGAGACAACAATATTGACCTCATGAATGTTCAAAGAACACACAGTGCTTGCTTCAAGCATGATATAGCATTTGCTGAGTAAATTTTGCATACAGCAATACACTTGGTGATAATGGAAGATAGTCCAACTAAAAGAGGTAGAGAAAGACCTTATATAGCATGGACACATCACAGACCATTTTAGTGCAGTGTCGTCTTGTTGGACACAGACATTTCTACAACACACACTGCTCAGACCCAGCAATCTAAAACAAAAAAAATATGTTGTACTTGTTCATGGCCAGTTAAACTATGACAAGTTCTGATAGGAATTGTACCCCGCCCTCTAGGTGGGGAAAGGTCTACCAACGGAGATAAAAGACTATTGGGCCATGTGTTAGGGGCAAAGGGAAAATTTGTAATAAGTTAGTTAGAGCTAATTCTGTTATATTGAGAGTTGCTGTATGGAGTGGGCATATGGTGATTGGAACTGATATTTGGGGCAGAGAGATTCTCTCTTGCTGGGGGAGCATTGCTCTCAAAAATTCTTCACTCTTTACCTCTTACTATTTTCTTCTTTCTATGTTTTGCAAGCATCTTTAATACTGTGTTATGAATAGTTATAATAGACGTATTAGGATTATGGTTTATGTTAGTATTATTATAACGGGCTTGGCCCACTAGGATTATATATGTATCTTTGTAAATATAATGGTCTCTACACATTGTAGAGCATCCAATTCCAGCACACTAATCTGTCTCTCTATGCTCTCTCTCTCTCAATTCTACATATACTATACATATCAAGTTCATTTAGGAAATCTTTTCAGAAAATGTCAATAGAAATGATACTCCATGTTAAAGTTTGGTGTTAGACTTCAATAATACCACAACAGAGAAAAAAGAATTCTGGGTTTCATTGACATTACTGATGATATGCAGGTTGGAACTGATACACTCTTATTCTTTCTCAACTCCAGTGATTCCAATAAGCTGTCTACATCCACTTCTTCTGTGGAAGGACCTGCGGTCAGAAAAGGCACAGTAAATGAAAAATCTGTTTGCATGAAAGGTAAATACAACATACAGTGACTAATATACCCGCTATCATCTGTATGTACCATTTATACTTCTCTCAAGCATTATACAACCGTCTTTTCCCAAAGTAACAATCGCAAATTTTATGTTGGGCAACCTTAAAAGCATAGAAACAAGTGCTTGTGGAATAGTTGATGCATCTGCCCATACCTGTCGGCAGAAAATGGTAGATCGTGTGTATTTAGTGATGCTTAAAATAAATTTACCCCACAGAATAGTGTAAAAAGAAGGTTTCAATAAATAAATGAAAAATATGTACATGAAATTAAAAAAGCTATAGCAACAAGAAAAAGGAAAATGATATGCACCATTGGTATCACATGGAATGCCCTTTCCCATCACAAAATGAATATAGCTTATAGATAAGATAACTGAAATAACATATGCAAATAGACATATTGCAATATAAGCAGAGCACACACAAAGCAAAAAAGAGTACTGTATAGTCTTTTCTTTTCTTCTGATGCTAAGACAGCATATATTTTATTCAGTAACTAATATATTTATTGACTGACGGATAAAACAGAAATGTGGACTGTTAAAATCAACTCAAAATTTCTGCATATGAAGACAAGATTGACGAGAGAACTCTAGTTTTGTACATTTCCTATGGGAGCCTTTTCAGGTTAAACAATGCACTTACCTTCGGAAACTTCGCTGAACATACAACATAATCAGCTAATTTCAGGAGATCATCCAACCCTTCCCTTGGCCTTTCTGCATCAATTAAGATGGGTATATTCTTCCTAACTGCCTGCACTGGAAAAAAAATATAATATTTTGTTTACTTCACTTCAGACGAAGCTCTATTTTCTCACCTCCAACCTCCTTTACGAAGAAAAACAAAAAAAGGAAGCAAGACATCAAGGGATAGATAAAAGTTACTCATAGCATCAGCAATGCTAACAGAAAATTAAACAGAGTGGATACAAAGTGATTAAAGAAAAAGAATGAATATTAGGATGAGAAACACAAACAATTTTGATTTTACTGATTGATGGGTTGCAATATTCTCTATGCATTGCAGATTACATTTTTTTGAAATACTATCGTCCTCTCACACTTCTCTATCATTTAAGTTACTGCTGTCTCATTTTCAACCATTCACATTGGTGTGCTGACAGGGTATTCTTTTAATAAAAAAAATGTTAGCAGAAATCAATGTTGGCTTTTATACTAAATACTGTATAAAAGTGTATGCTTCTTTGAAATTTTGCATGCTTCAACTTTATTTTCGTTATTGTACTTTCAACTCTGAAATATGATTATGGCCTCAGGTTTATATCAGAATTGCAAGTAAATTATATAGGTTATAACCTCATGAGCAACGACAAGAGCAGTTTCATACAACCTCCCATCAAAATATACAATTCTTGCTCCGTCCAATGCAGATAACAAACTTGATTCTGTAAGGTCGTCTGGTATCATCGGAGGATGTCCAGGGGTATGTATACAAGTTCGGGTCTTCCTGACAAACCACACTTAGAATGAGTCCAGTTGCAATTAAAATTTTCAACAGTTTCACCAGCAGAAAAAACTTTCATGATGAATAATGATAGTACACAGTTTTTATTTTATTCTAACTACTGATGAACAAATTCTCCTTGTCATTCATGCATTGACTGCTGGTTGAAATTATGTCACAGGTATTGGTCCAAAAATGATAAAACACAAGAAATGGAGACAAGGAAAGAGTCAGAAAATAGTTAAGTGCAAAATTTGCAGCTTCATTTCATTTCATTTCAATCTTTTTTCTTCTTCAATGAAAATAAAATAACACAATCTACTATTTTATGTTCAAAACCCTGCAGAGGACAGTGACCATAATGGCATAATCTCAACTAGATCCACTTATTTGGTCCTCTCGTTTGGAATTTAGATCATGAATATACTTGGTGGAAAAAGACAAAATTGTGTAAGCATATATAAGTCAATGACCATTACGTTTGGCTGTCCACAATAATATATGTAAATGGTGAAGTTCCCTCCTTAGATACCTGCATATAACAGGGAACATAACAACAAAAGTATTAAAAAAGTATTCCAGGCAATTGGAACTCCTAATTGTCTATTCACAATCCCCACTAACTAGTTTTTTATTTGCAATATCCAAATCACCCTGAATGAGATAATTATTCTTCAAATAAAACCTTAGCTTTTTATTTGTCTGTACACATTTAATCGTGGAACCTTAAAAAATTATAATTATAAGTAGTTACTGAGGAAAGTAAACAGAATATTGAGAATGCCAACAACATTGAAACTAAAAAATGTATATATAAACAAACATAGGTGAAGAGTTAGAAAGATGACAATGGTTATTGGCCTTCAATTCATGGAGGAATTATAGTGTTGCCCATAGACTAAAAATCATAACTCAGGCTTTGTGAAGATTACAAACAGAATAATCTTTAAACATTACCACAATAAAGGATGTATCTACACCATCATCCTGTAGCTCATCTAATATTCCCCTCCCTTGACTGTCATCAGCAACCTAATCAGTGTCAAACACATACAAATACAATGGTATCAGTGGCAGGTTTGAACCATTAAATAACAGATATTACCAGTTTTTAAAAATAAAATAAACATGATGAGTGTTTGGCTTAAAATAAATAAATAAAGTATAAATTTGGCCCCTACAATTGACACCAATTTTTGTTTAGTCCCTACATGAAATAATCATACATTTTGGTCCTTATATGAAAAATCGTCTACTGATCAATCCCTGTCATTTATTTAAGTTAAAATGGTGTTAAATCTAGACCCTATATTTGACATTATTTTTCATTTTAATCCTTATACTTGCACTCATTTTGGTCTTTATATAAAAACTCTATGTTTTGGTCCTTGCATTAAAAATAATAGTAAAATACATTAATACCGTTATAACTTCAGATGATGGGGATCAATTTATAATATGTTTTTCATACAAGGACTACAATTTAGACTTTTTTTTTATATTATTATTAATAGGAACCGAAACAAAAGTAAGTTAGATATAAGGGATAAAATTATAACTTAACCATAAATAAATAAATAACACCTTAGATATGAGCCTTGGTTTTAGGCCCAAGCGAGCAAGACAGGTTAAAGCATTGCCAGCATTACCACCTCCTTGAACCTGAGATTAAAAAAAGCTTAATGTGAACACAGCACAAAACTAATGGAATGCGAAGAAAAAGAAAAAGGGACCTTTAAACTGGTGCTTCTGATTTTGTCATCTGGATTAGGGTAAGCAGCAACGGTGGCCAAGAAATCGATGGAAACCCCTCCACACCCTATCTGCACACACATGCAAACAACGAACAAGCCCTCTAATTTGGTGCTTCGAATTGAAATGGAACCACAGAGAGAGAGAGAGAGAGAGAGAACGCACAACGACGTCGTTTTGAGGTTGCGAGCACATGTTGGCCCTGCAGCGAGGCCTCCTCGACCCAAACTAACGATTAACGAAATGAAAAAGCAAAAATTAGAAAAAGTAAAAGGATTTGTGAAAGTAAAAGGGAGAGTTGATTACGTTGTAGTAAGAGTTGAGAAATGGTTGTGTGAAGGTCGAAGAAATCATAGTGCAGAGGTTTGACATGTTATGCTGAGTGAGTGAGTGAGTGAGTGAGTGATGGATGATGATCATCAACGTTTCTTCCGCCCACCGTTTCCTTCAATTTCAACCCACCATTTTCTTTTTTGTCTTTTTCAATTTTTTGTTTAAATCCCAGTTTTATTTGACTTTTGTTATTAAGCACCATAGAGTTGGAAGGTTTTATTAAAAAAATATTTATTATGTTAAAGTTTGAGCTTATTATTATTTTTAGTTTATTTATATATTTAAGATACATTTAAAAATACAATGTAATTAAAACATTTATTTTAAATAATTATGTAAAAAATTGACTATAATTTTTTTAAAATGAGCTATATTAAAAAACGAGTTTATTTCAATAAATCGTTTTAAAAATTTAATAAAATAAGTTAAAAAATAACTCATGAAAATTATAAATAATTTTTTTATAAACTTTTCTAAATGCTTCTTTAATTACTATGCAGGGGGTGGATTAAAAAAAATACGAGCTCTACAAATTCTGAACATGAACTTGTAATACATTTAAAAATTGATTGATAATTGTTAAATAATTAAAAAAATCATAAAAATGCAACTCATTTATAATTTTTTATATTATTATAATATTAATATTTTTTAATGTATATACCAAGACACATAATATATATATATATAATAATTTTTTTAAAAATAATACTATTAAATCCAACGCGTCAATAATGTTAAATACTATAATTTTAAATAAAAATTTCTTATTTATTAATTTTTTTACTGTATATCATTAGACACAGTGTTAGAAAAATCATTACAGGACAACACACTAGAATTAGAAAAGATTTAATGTACAAAATAACAACTAAAAACATAAGATAAAATTACAAACATTTGAGCTAAATGATAAATTTAAAACTAGAATACAAGAGCACAATTTGTGTGCTGACCCTTATTTCATCATGTATATTAGGCTGAATCTAGTTTGTGAAGGATGCTAGGCGTGGATCAGTGCGGTATGGAAGACCACTACGAGCACCAAGAGCTCTACACTTAGTAGCTGCCTGTAATTAGCATCAAAAGGAATCAACAAATTCGTTTACATCTCATCTTTGACAAACTCTTATTAAAGGAAAATTTTTAATGCCTTTTGTATGTCTTATACTGATCATAAATCCAAATTACACCATCTTGTTTCTAATTTAGTATTTACTTGCATCTTATGCTGCTTACCACAAAAGAAGCAAATGGCAACATTTTCTCTGGTGACAAGTTGGCACAGATTGCTGCAAATAAGATAGAAACTTAATTTTGAAATTGTAGCATCAAACGAACAGAACTAGCACAGTAGTAGTTCATTAGTGGAATGATCAACATTTACAAAAACAGAAGTATATTGTAAGACTAGAAGTCATGAAGACAATGGAATTGTAGCCAACAATGTAAGAGATTGTTTGGTTTTAGAAAATGTTTTCCGGTTTCATTTTGTGTACAAGAAACACTAAAAATAACTTTTTTTTCACTATTTCCTGCATAAATCTTTAAAAACAAGAAACGAAGTGAAAATAAGGTGACAGTTTTATAATTAAAAGTGAAAATAGAAAACTTTTCCAGAAACCAAACAGGCCCTAAATCTTCCTTGTGTGGCTGTTCTGAAATTCAGTAGAATATGTCCAATGGAAAAATCAGAAAATTCAAGCTTGCATGTAGAGTTAATATTGAAGAGGTTGCAAATACCATATAAAACAGCTCCAACAAAGGCATCCCCAGCACCAGTTGTATCAATAAGCTCTGATGGTGGAATCTTTTCAGCTGTCCCAAAATATAATCTCCCACACACACATCCTATCCCGTCAGCTCTAAATTTTGTAACAGACTAGGAGGATTAAGATAAAAGATCAATCCAAGTGGAATTTACCCAAATCAAAATTAGTAATGAAAAGTGATCTTATAGTGACACATTATTAAACATGCCTAATTAATGCAATATTTGCTTCAAAGACGTGGCAATGCAAGAAATTTCTAATTACATTACATTTGAACCAAATTTTCTTTAGAAGAATGATTTTTCTAATGCATACTTATAGGCAACATAATATGACTAGAATCCAGTTTGAGTAAATTTTTAAAAAAGTCCTTATAAAAAAATAAAAGTATAAAAAATAAAAATTTTCGCCTAAAAGGAAATCTCTAAAAATTTAATCACACTGAGCTAATTATAATACAAGCAGTCTCATAGTCATAATCACACTATTAATGCCAATAAGAATCAAAGTTCACTCTAGTTTTATGACACAGTAGGAAGAAAAAGCTACAAGTTTTAGCTAGTTATTACCGAGGATATGCAGGTTGGCATGACTGTGCTATTGTCCTTTCTCTTTGTTAATGAGATCAAACAGCTGTCTACATCGATTTCTTCTAAGTGAGAACCCTCTGCTAGAAAGTAAATTGGAACTTACGTGATATTAGGAAATTGAATGCAAAAGAGAAAAGGCCCAAACAAGAACGAAGAAGTATTTCTACCATCATCCTCACACTTCTCAAGCATTATGCAGCCATCTTTTCCCAAAGTTGCAATCACAAATTTAAGTCTTGGAAGTCTTAAAATAATTGAAACTAGTGCTCTTGGAATAGATGATGCCTCTGTCCAGGCCTGCCAAATTGTCAAAGCCACGTCATAAAATGGCAATCTTTCATGCTGATGAATTGTCACAAAGAAACAGAAGAGGAGAGAGAACAAAACAAGGTAAAAAAAAAAAAAACAAAGTACAAACATTCAACTTTAAAATTGATAAAACAATGAAATCAGGAAATGGATAATGCAAGTTGTTAACTCAAATCATACAGTTTGTCAATCACTATCCAGTTATGTGATCTGATTCATCAGTTTTCATTTATCTGCTTCTTAAACATTTTTGCTTGGTTTGATTTTTCAGCAATTCTTCCCAAAATTAACTTATGCACTTGTCTCTTCATTGCACCGCATGGTAAATGCACGTAATTTAAATGCGGTGTACATGAGAGTGATGACAAGAAATTATAAAATTCATGTTGGAATTGGAACACACGTGACCCACCTGGAGAGAAAGTGTAAATAGTTTTCGCATATCTGATAGAAGAAATTCAATATATTTATTATATAATTCCATTTTGGTACAAGCTGTAAATAGTTTCCCCAGGCCTTTCTTCCGACTATAAAGACAAAGCTAAAATTTTGAATTTGCAAAATACATTTCACGATCCACCAATGAAATGTTATAAATTTAGAATCCAAGAATAATTCAACATAACTGCAAGCTAAAAGAAGACTCACAGGCACTCAAGTGTTTATGATAATCTAGTGTTCTACGTCATGATAGTATTAACTTGCCTGTGGAAATTTTTCTGAACATACAACACAATCAGCCAATTCCAGTAGGTCATTCAATCCTTCCCTAGGCCTTTCAGCATCAATTAAGATAGATATATTCTGGCGAAATGCCTGAAAGAGCAAAAGATAAATATTAAATAAATTAGCTTATTTTTCATTAGGGGGTTCTCCCTTCAAATATAAATGCAATCCCCTTAGGACAACATTTATGAATCTTGCCATGATTCATTTATACGTGACAGGATCTATTTGTTTCTACAAAACTTTCTACAGAAAAGGGATTTGACCTTTTCTATCCTAATTATGAGGCATATGAGTTAGCAACCTCTTTGGAATAAGTACTGATAGCAATCACAGAAATATGATTTAATATAAATCTACTTAAAATAATTCTATATGGAAGCTTTGCATGACTCCACCTAGGTAACAACTGAGATGTAATTACCTCTTGAGCAATGACAAGAGCAGTTTCAGGCATCCTTGCATCAAAATAGACCACTCTTGCTCCATTCAGTGCAGATAACAAATTGGCTCGTGGAAGATCTTCTGAGACTAATGGAGGATATCCTTCAGTGAATATACAAGTCCTTGTTTTCCTGAATGTTCAAAGTTTTAGAATTAATCGTTTTGTATACCTGAACAATTCAGCTAGTCCATTTAAATCATTTAAGTTAGGCATGGAAATTTATCAGGCAAGAAATTCCATATCAAGATAGCACACATAAATAACATTCTATCTACAGTATGTCCATGATGTTCTTGCAAATGTTCTTTGTAATGTATAAAATTAACTGATGATATAAACAAACAAGAATGTGGAAATACTGCTAATCTAGTTTTATTTCCACATCTAAAGAAATTTATGTAAATGCCACTGGCGATACTTTCATTTTTCAACGTTCATTAAGCAAGAAATTGGATAGAACCTAGCTAAAATAAACATAATTTTGCCTATAAACCCTTTTAAGTAATGGCACATACGTTTGGCTGTCAACAATAATGTAGCTAAATGGTGTAGTCCCTTCCTTTGAGACCTGGAAACAAATGGAAAATGAAACCATGAAAGACTCCCCCAAATATAGAGATTAGACAATGGCACACACCAAATGCAAATGACAAATAATAAAATGGCAATAATTTTTTTTCCTGAATTTATTCATACTAGTAAACCGTATAGACCAAGTAGCTAGCTAAGCAACCAAACATAAGAGTATTTCATTATGATTCAACAACTATATAACCACATGAGTAGTGAAAATATACGAGGAATTCATCTTAATAATAGAATAAAAATTAATTGTAAAAAATTAAATTTAAGAATAACAATCTTGACCTTCCATACATATCAGTAAGGTCAAGATTAGCACATCTCAACTCTAATTATATGTATCCCATATATAATATACAATGCTTAAAGTATAAATATCTTTTTCTTTTACTATTTTGAGTTACTTTTTTGCAGTTTGCATTTGTAGGAGTAAGAGTGTGTGTGTGTGTATATTTATATATGGGTGTGTGTGTATAAAATATGCATATACATACCACAAAAAAAGAGGTATCCACCCCATCAGCTTCTAGCTCATCCAGCACAGCCTTACCTGGACCGTCATTCGCAACCTAATGATTTCAAATTGCATATTAATTAGTCATAACCATGAGATTAAGTACAGTATCATAAAAATGGTGCCAAAAATACAAGAAACCTTAGAAATTATTCTTGGCTTTAATCCCAAACGAGCAGCACATGTCAAAGCATTTGCAGCATTTCCACCACCTTGGACCTACCAACCCAAAAATCACAGTCAAACTTTGATCACCCTCATTAGCACATAACTTTACTATTATTAGGAATGATTATTCAGGAAAAATAATTTTAAAAAGACGTTATTTTTATATTTTAAAATAAACTAATTCATCATGTCCTGTCTTTGATCCAAATATATATACACACTAATGATCATGATTATCCATAATATATAATGTAATAATATAAAGTAAACAGCAGCACCACGAATAAAGAAATTAAGAAGAGTAATTTTAATAATAAAAAAAAGCAATTTTCTCTTATTTAGTTTCTTTGTCATGTAAGGAGAGGAAATATAATAGGACCCACAATTGGAGTTTCTCACCACCAATGCTGTGAAATTGACCTAAGGTGAGAGATTTTACATTTTTTCCTTTTAATTTATTTTTATATTGTGTAATTTTAAAAATAATATTAAAGTATAAATTTTTAAAAGTATTATATTGTAATTTTTAATTATTATAAAATATTTTTATATAATCATTTTATAAGATTTTTAAGAGATTTTTTTGTTTATCTTTAACATATGACTTTTTATAAAATTTCAAAAGAATTTATTATTTTTTTACATATTTATCCTCACATTTTTAAATTAATAATTAATATAATAATATAACTTGAATTTAATTAAAGATAAACTTTGAATGTTATAATTACTTTTTTAAAAATTAATATATTAATTGCTTTTAGCAACTTTTTTAAAGTATATTTATTGTTACTCTTAAGTGTTTGTCACTCTAATTTCAGTTATTTTTGTTTAAAATATTTTTCTCTCTTAATATATTTTTTTAAAACATTTTATACAATTAGTCTATTTTTAAAATAATTTTGTAAACCATAGTTCTTAAGACTAACTTTAAAGAACCAAAAAGTTTTTTTTTCTTAATATATGTGTGTGATTTTGATCTTTTTTAATTTTAAAATTTTAATAAAATAAATAGCATTAATTAGCAATATTTTAAAAAAATGCTATAAATTTATAATACATAATTGTTATTTTTATTAATTCTAATATATGAATAATTTTTTTATAGAAGTATAGAGAGAATATTATATTAAATAAATAAAGACAAATAACCTTGCAGAGTGGACTCAAAACAGACAAACACAAACGTGGGGTTAAAGTGAAAACGGTCCCCCACCGGACTGAAAATGAGTTGTTAAAGATAGGTTTGGTTAAAGTCAACGTCAAAAAATGTCCCTTGACCTCAACCTACGACTGCGTCAGAGGATTTCGACTAATGATTCATCATTCATGGGGGTTCATAAATGCCAATCAAATTAAAGAAAACCTTCAAAGCATGGCGTCAACAACAATAAGAAGAAAAAAAAATATTAATATCAATGTTGAGCGTTAATTTTAAGTAATTAAAAACACAACTTTCGTTGAAACATAATTTTAATAAAATTAATGTTTTTTAATAAGATTTATTTTTATAAGTATATAAAATAGTAAATAAGGGAATGAAGGAGGAGAAAGAAAACCTTGAGTTCAGTGCTTCTTATCTTGGCGTCAGGCTTGGGAAAAGATGCCACTACAGCCAGAAAATCGACACAAGCCCCGCCAAATCCAACCTGCAAAACAAACACACACAAATTGAAAATTCAATCGAAAGAGAGAGTAGGAATCATGAGAACGAAAACAGTAACAAGACTCACAATGATGGGATTTTCGGGGTGAAGAAGACCTGAATCTGAAGACATCATTCTAATGCCTGCGAAAAGTTAGCAATCATATCATATGGTATTATATAATAATGTATTTTATATTCATAAGAAAGTGAAATCATTAAGTTAATTTACTAAACCAACCTCGTAAATAACGTAGCAATTAGCGAGGGAAAGTGGAAGAACGAGTGGTTAATAAGTAGGAAGAAGAAAGCGAGAACAGAAAAGAAGAGAACTGGAAAGGTTTTATTTCACTTTCACTATGTTAACGTTATAATTGTTTGTCGCCACTGACAAAGCTTATTGGCTTCCATGGGTCGTGACTCGTGTCTGATAAGATTGACTTCTGAAAGCCCTACGCCCACGTCAGCTGACTTTTTATGTATAAAATTTATTAAATAATGTTTATTTTTTTAGTTGTTTATATTTTAATTCTGGAAGTGAATTTTTTTATCATTTTTTTTAAATTTTAATATTGTTAGATTAATAACTAACTAGATAAAATACAGGAGCAATCGTTCATCGGAAGTATAAATTAGTACTTCAATGAATAAATAATGATAGGACCTAATATTCAGATTAAAAAAAACATATATAGTACGTACGAAATATAATTATAAGTTTGGTTAAAAATGGAAAAGAAACATGAATTTTAGTTATATATAGTGTGTGAGCATATGAACATAAATATCTTAACATTATATCTATGTTTATACAACGTTATAAATATGTATTTAATTTTATTTAACAAATGTTTATCCTATTTATTATGAGTATTTTTAACGAGTATTCCATATACATACATAGGGAATCTCTCTAGATAAACTTGTTCAAATAAACTTGTTCAAACAACAGAAACAAAATCAAGGAGTCATGCGCGTGCGTGTTCTGCTGCTGAAGCGGGACTATGCAGTCATTTAATTAGAAGTCTTGTTAAAACGTTTAAAATAATATAGTAACGATGCTTTCATTTGTTTATTTCTTGAAGGGTTTTTATTTACGTTTGGATTAACTGAATATTTAATCTTATTTTATTAAAGTTTATATTAATGTGTCGTTTCCTGAGTAAAATAAAACTCCCTGAAAAAATTATGGGACAGAAATCTAAAATCATTTTATTTATTGTGAGCTATGCATGAGGTTGAATGGTCAACAATTTCAGGAGTTGATTTTGTTTTTGTATTCCTCCCAAAAAAAAATTAACTGTTGATTTGTAGTGATAATCACGGCTAACTTGAACCCTATTTTACGCTACAAAAGACCGATTTAAGTTACATTTCCACCTTGTATAATAAATCAATATTTCAAAATTAGAAGTCAATTTTCTCTCTCACCAATCTTAACCAGAAAACTATAGAATTTGGGAAGCCTATCCTACACTCTCAATCAACCCTTGGGGGCCTTTTGAAACTGTACATTTCAAAAAACACAAGAAATCTAAAATCTGAACCCAGTATCCATCATCATTCCAAACACGCTTGGAAGGAACTCAAGTAAGCACCACATGTTCACTGACTTCCAGTAAACCTGTGAAAGGATAGCTTGCTTCGGGCTGCTCTTAAGGGTCCTGATCTATTCTCGTGCCTGATTGATATAAATGTCTCATTTCCCATCAAGTTTGAAGCTGAAAACGGTCTGGTTTCAGTTTCTTCAAGTGGACCAGAACTGTGTTCCATAGTGATGAAGGAAGGTGCTTGCCCATATGTTAATTGCGGCACCCCTTCAGCATCCCTCCAACTGCTATCAGAAAAGGCAAGGTCACCTCTAAAATCAGACTCCTGAGCAGAAGACTCCTTCCGACTATTCCAGTCCCCACAGGTCTCATTGGTGTCGTTGTAGATCAACTTAAGAGCCTGCACAACCTCACCCATAAAAGGTCTCTGGGTGACCTCTGGGTGTACACACATTGAAGCAATAGCAGCCACCTTTGCCATGTCATCGAAGTCATAGCTTCCAGCCAAAGATGGATCCACCAGCTGTTCTAAACCTTCTCTACTTGTCAACAGTCGTCGAGCCCATGTTACAAGATTCTCCTGTCCAGGTGGTTGAGACATGTCCACTGGTCTTCTGCCTGTTAGAAGTTCAAGCAGCACAACACCATAACTATAAACATCACTTTTAACGAGTAAATGGCCTGTCATTGCATATTCTGGGGCAACATACCTGCAAAATTGAATAGGTATAAATGACATAAAATTTAATGCTAGGAATTTATAATGACATAAAAACTTATGTTAATCTTGCACAACTCATACGCAGGCATTACAATTTCTGCAGTAGATTGGTGTCGGACTTCAACAGAAAGACAAAAACAATCTGAATAATTCTCATGGGGGTTAATAAGCACTATGCGCAGAATTCATTAGTTAATTTATGTAAAATATACAAGTTAACTCAAGGAAGTAGAGCAGAACATTGTCCAAGAAAAGAAACTCGGATATTGAACAATGTGATGATGACGACACTTGCCAACATTTAAGAAATGATATAAAGCTACACAACTTGGGTGACCAGATACACATGGGACCCGCCCCCAAGTTTAAACCCAGGCTGCGTAGTGGAACTCGTTTAAAATACTTGATCAAAATGTGGTTGACAAAGTTTCAAACTTACCCAAAAGTACCCATGACTCTTGTAGAAATATGACGATTTCCATCAGTTGCTTCTCTTGCTAATCCAAAATCAGAAACCTTGGGGGTAAAGTCATCTTCTAACAACACATTGCTAGCTTTGAAATCTCGGTGAATTACACGAGGATTAGAATCCTCGTGAAGATAGGCCAATCCTCTCGCAGCTCCAAGGGCAATTTTTATCCGTGCTTCCCAATCTAGAGGGCTCATTTTCTTGTCAACACCTGCAGGATTAAATTTAATCAACATATGGCAATGCGTTAAAAATTAAACATGGGACACATCCAGAACCAAAAGAAAATGTTACAGTTACCATGCAAATGAGACTCAACACTGCCATTGCGAACAAGCTCATAGACCAAGCAACGCCTTCGCCCTTCTATGCATATACCAATGAGTTTCACAAGATTACGATGATGCAAACGGCTTAGCATCTCAACTTCTGCAATAAATTCACGGTCTCCATTCTGATTATCCCTTGTTAGCAGCTTAACTGCAACTTCAGTTCCATCATCAAATGTCCCACAATAAACACGTCCAAATCCTCCTTCTCCTAATACTCTCTGAGAACTGAACTGAGCTGTTGCTTTCTCAAGCTCAGAAAAGGAAAATGTTTTAACAGAGAGAACAGAAGTAGCCAAGGTGGACAGAAGAGACATAGATCTTGAGCTCGAAATTCTGTTTGAAAACATAGACTCCATGGCTGCATAATAAGCATCCATCCATTTATATTTTACTTCAATTATGATACAGTTTACAGAATGAGGTAGATAACCAAGAGTACAAGACAACATCAAAATTCTTTAACACACGGATAAGCACCATATTTGCAACAATGTATGCATTCCCACTCAGCACGCAAGTTCATAAACTAGAGAAAGCAGAATCTATCTTAAATGAGAAAAATGTTGACTTCATTAATGTATTTGATTGGGCGTATATTTCAGTAACCACAAAAAGTAGATGAAATCCACAAAAAGTGGAGGAAATCTCACTAATCATATTGATCTTATATATAGCATGATGAGTGTCTTTTAAGTTGAAAAAAAATAGTAACGATATGTTACTCTTGGTCCTAGACTGCCAGTCCAAGCACCAATGGTAGTAAATAACAGAAGTAATAGCAGAAAAGTGAAAGAATGAATCTTTTATTGAATGAAAGAACACCGCACCCCCAGGTTATTTGAGAGAACCTGAACCTGGACTCTCCCACATCAGTCTTCACACACAACACACACTTTTCATCCTTCATTCTAATTATATCCCATTGCTCTTCTAATTTCCTAAACACCAAAACAATATTTTTTAATTTAGTTACATTTGGGTTTGATCCCTTGCTGTCCTAAACCCTCTTAATTGGGGGTCTCATATCAGGCAAGTAGAGGCCTGCTGAAAGGATTACTTCCAAGCATTTTTTTTACATGTAAGAAGGCTACTCAATTAATCCTTGGACACAAGATGATATCCCTTTGCAATACCAGTATATACTGATCGAAAAAATGTTTCACAATTATCATATAAAAGTCAAGCACAAAAGGCACCCATATGTAAATCATAGAAACCTAATTTAAATGTGAAACAAAACAAAACTAACATTTTAACGAGCAATGACACCAGAAAAACCTTAAAAAACTAGAGAGCAATGTACTGGGAATTTGTGGGAATGTAAAGCAAAAATATATTCTACAACTATTTTTCCAAGAAACGGAAATAACTAAACAAATATAACATTGGTGTATGGTAAAGAAGGAAAAAAGGGAACTAATAGAAAGAAACTGCAAAAGGAGAGTTGTACTTAACCTAAGAAATAATATTTTAGGCAACAACTCATTTGTGTATAATTTACAATAAAATTCTTTGCAATCAAATATCAAATTCTTCCAATTCTATATAAGCATCTCAAAATTATCTTATGAAAAAATAAAATACACATGCGGTAAAGTTCAAAACTATACCAGATCTCTTGTTTAGATACGAAGTGAATGCAGGGCCAACAGCACTTGATGATCTCCTAATTTTCCTCCATCTCAAAATGATGGAAAATGCTCCAACCAAAACCACCAAGAGTACAAAGGAAGATAGAGCAATGATGATTATGGTACCAAGATCCATTTTCTCATCATTGCTGATATTCTTGGCAGTGATTGGGAGTATACCTTCAACACTTTCACTAGGCTGAGGAGCATTCCCAAAAAAGCTTCCACGTGGCAGCAATGATGGCATCCCTGATACCAACTGCTTTAATCTCAACAAGTAACATATGGCAAGAATAAGCTAAAATGTGATTAGGAGGAACAAAACAACTACCTGGATAAGCAATGTACAAGACTGCATAATCACCAAAAAGGCTCCTATTTAGAGGAACTTCCTTGAGCCAGAACCTCCCATACATCAGAAATACAGTGGTATTGTCAAATTTATCCCCAAGTGGAACCAAGTTAATATCAACTATGGTTCTTCCCTGATTTTGACTGTCAGCACTGACACCCATTATCCTTACCTGGTTCTGCTTCAAATATGTTCCAGACGCAACTTCAATCTCTAACACATTAATTAGCGGAAAAACAACCAAAGGAGCTGCATCCAGTACAAGTCTGACTTTCATAGGAAATACACAACCACAAGGTGAACCAAAAGGAGTTGCTGTGAGCGGATCTGTACAGATTTGGCAACAAGCTGCCAGAATTTTTTTTTAGATAATAGTATGGAATTATGGTACATAATAACGGAGGGAGAAAAAAAGCTATGACACATAATTTCTGTAATTTAATCAGCTGAAGGATTTATCTCACAGCAATTAAAACTTTAACTCCATTGTATTAATTAACCCATTAGATCCTATCATACCTTAGGGAAGCATACAATAATTTAATAAACCAAAAACATCTTGAAAGAACATCAAGGGGCAAATATAGTTTAAAATAACTTTTTCCCCACATAAAACACTTTCAGCTTAACTTAGTAAAGACAGGCAGCAAATATAGTAAATAAATTAATTTTTCACACAATATTCTTAATCTAAAGCATTAAACTAATTAGATTAAAAAAAGTCTTCCGCATTATTTTAATTTTGACATTATGCCTATTTATACCATCTTACCATGTTAATATAGTACCATACATTAGAAGAACCAAATAAGAATAAAATGCACAGTATTTAGTTACAAAGAATCAATTTTTAATTTCTTTGATCAATTTACATCACCGAACAGGGATGCCAAGAAAAACATCAAGAAAAAATAGAAAAGGATTGTAACTACAATATTGAAAGACCAAAAAAGCCATTGAGATTTTATAAATTGTCCTGCCTTGATAAAAGTAGGATAAGAAGAAAGGTATACAACTTTGAGGAAATACCTTGGTCTTTAGAAGGAGATGGAGCCACAGCATAAGGTTTCACGCTGTGCAGATATTGACAATGTTCTGGTCTTGGAGTCACACTAGGACCTAAATAGGAGAACATTAATTCTCAGTCACATAGCAAACATGAAGTGTAACAAGTTAATGAAAAATATAGTAATATACCTTGATAAAGTGGAGATGGCACAGGAGCAAATGATGACCCAGATGCAGCAAATGGCACATTCGTAGAAACCATCTTCACTGCAGGAAAAAAACTTACTGTCTCATACATAATGTCTCAAAAGGAATCTCCTCAAATTATTATAAAAAAACATAAAATCATAAGCCTTTTCATGTAGCCAACTCCACTTGGTAGGAAAAGGCTTGTGTTGCTGTTGTATAATCCTTTACATTGATTACAAAGTATGAGATCCAATATGAATTGAAGCATAAACATGTAGAAATATAGCACATGATTCATTCAGAAAAACTTATCAAATATCAGAAGGGTTTTCTAAAATCATATTATTTAATTTACTCCAGCCTCCAATTTTCCTTTTATGATGATCTTAAATCTATTCACGGTCCTATTACAATATGGCACATCTCTCATAGTAATAAACTTTCCAACATTCTAGTGGAAATACATAACAAGTATAAAATCTTCAACTGTTTGACACCCAACCCAATGAGATGGTAAATGATAAAAAATATGCAGCTATGCAAGGAAATTGGTTAAACAAATGGAAGATCAAGTCAAGTTGACATTCTCGAAGAAAGTTGATGATGAGAACATGAGACTAGAGTAATGCAATGAAAAAGTCTTTTCATAGGCAAATGCTGAGAATTTTATATCTCCTGTTTATGGCACTATGGAAAACATCTGTTAACATCAATGTCTTCAATCATTAAATAACTCAAAAAATGAAGTAACTTAAAGCATTGTGAAAATATTGTCAAAACATTGTCTGATAATGGACTTCACATTTGCAAGGAATAGGGTTATTCAATACTAAGATATGTTAAACAAAAATATTCCCATATTGGTTTCCCATTCAGATTTTCAAGAATCTAAATGCTAACAGCTAAATCATTACAACAACAACCAAATCTTATCTCACAAGGTGAGATTAACAACACGGATCATTATTGAGCTCGGTCAAAAATTAAATTTTCAGAAATATTATTTAACATTAGATTTCTTTTGATAATCTCCACTTAAGTTCTTTTGGATCTCCCTCTACCCTTTTACTTTAGTTCTGCATAAAACACTACAGGGCAGAAGTTCCAGAATACATTGTGAATCATGTCATGTCATGTACCATGTTCAACTAATATTTCTGTGACAATGCTAAGTCATTAGTGAGGCTTCTTCAAAACTGTCTATCAAATGTTCTACTTTACAACTGATTTTCGCACATATCAGCACAAAACAAAAGCTTAGAAGGCACGTGCACACAATTTATCTTACAGGTACAAAAATACTTTTCCTAAAATTTGAATATATATATATATATATATATATATATATATATCTGTCTGTGTGTGTGTAACCTATGTAAGATGTTTTAAGCTAAATTTGCAAACAATTTGAATCTCTACTCAAAAAGAAGGTAGTGACCAAGACGACCAAGACTTCCATATAAATTATATTTTAGAGATAATGCCAGAATTGCAAATATTTCTATCTTTTATTATGAGCAATAAATTTGGAAATGAATTTATTTGTTTGAATTTCCAATACAACAACCATTATTGTTTCGACTAGATGGGGTCAGCTACACGGATCCAACAATGCCATAAAGTTCCATTGTGAATCATGTCCATAGCAAAAAAAATTGTCCCCTAAATCCTTCTTGATGGCTTTGTCCATAATATTTCTCAATCTCCCTCTACTGGTCTTTGTCACACACACCCAAAACACCTAAAGTGAGATTCTATCACTTTTTCTACAATAGGTGGTGTGTCAACTTTCTCTTTAATACATCCATTTCTAATCCTGTCTTATCCAGTAGAACACTCATTCAGTGAAACATTTTCATCCCTACTGCATTGAGTTGATTCTCTGTTGGCCTTTTCATGCCCAACACTCATTCATACAACATTTTACTGTTACTTATATGAAAGCCATGGACTGGAATTTGTCTCCACATTTCTAACTTTCCATATTCCCTCTCTCGACACTTGAACTATGACTGTATAAGTTTGTTATACATTTATATGAAATATGCACCAGCTTAGTAGCAAAGTTTTTATAATAACAAATATTTTGATATATTACTTAAACTTGGCTTCTTGAAATGAAGTAGTTTTAAAAAATAAATTTATAAGCGAGAGTTAGAACATTTAAGTTTTCTGGAAATAGACTATTCTGATATAGGAAATATTTAAGTCTCAAAAGAGAGGATGACAAAGTCTAAGTATCTGTCCTGTAATTCCTACAACAAATACTGAATATATAACACCCAATTCAGTCCCAAGTAAATAAAAAAATATAGAATCCAACGAGGCAGTTATAAACAGTGGTTTCATCTTTTACAAGGCTAGCTAAAAATGCTTCTTGATTATTAATACTCGAAGCTCAGCTTAGTATATAAAGAAGAAACCATGTAGATGGAAGATGTGCAGTTGGATCACGTTGATAAATTCAAGTTTAGTGGAATGCAGTCATAAGATAAAAATACTCACTGATGTTTACATGTAAGGCAATCCACTGGGAGAAGTTATACAGCCCAAAACACACCATTCAACAATATAAGCAAGATTCAAAAATGCATTGCAAGTTAAGGATTTCGGTTTTCCATGTGAGGAGAGAACTGAGGAGCAAGTATTATAAACCATTAACAAATAACGACATCATATAGCCACACATTCAGTCATGTAGAGAACTATGAAGTAAGAAACATTAAAAATATATCCAAGGCATAACTAAAACCACAAATAATAGAGCAGAAGGAATTAGAACATTATTGGTAACCAACTAATACTTAAAAAACACATTATAAATCCCAGCAAAATCATTACTTTCTATAATCCAGGAGCCGTCAACTTCAAGCTACAAAACTAGCATCCAAGGGCCTTTACCCCTTTACCAATTAACCTAATGGATATGTACCTCATTGGAAGAAAAGGGAACGAGGAGTGGTTCAGACTTCAGAAACCTTGAAATTGGTAACTGCTAGTTACAATTTATGGAAGAAAAAAAAGTCTGCTATATGTTTCCGAGAAAGAGTATTATTATGTAAATATTCTACAGTTTCTATCCATGAATCACAACATAAGCTACAGTACAAGCATGGAACATAGATAATAATCAATTAATTAATTATACGATCTTAGAATTTTCCACAAAGACCCCGCAACATTGAAAACCAAACTCATTTTCCTAATTTAGAAGCACCGAGCGAGAACAAATTACATGACTCACAGAGAAGTAGGAACTTCTCCGAGGCTCACCAAATCGCCGTTAACCATATATGAAAGAAAATGACAGAAGCATATGAATTAAGTTGCGAAAACGAAGGAAGAATGAGAAGCGAATACCTGACGAAGAGAAAAGCAGAGAGTGAAGGAGAAGGATGAAGAAGAGAAGCGAGTTCTGCATTTTGTCTCTTTCGAACAAAGGCTCACAAAAACCATTGTCAAAACGGCGCAGCAGCGTGGAGGTCGCGGCAACTCCCTGAGCTCCGCCAGTTATCGTGAACGCAGTTGCATTGTGAGGTGGAAGGAAGCATGTGAATTGAAACCCTGAGAGAAAAGAGAAAAGTAGAAGAAGAAGGATTTGACAATGCAGGTGCTTCGGAACCTTCTAGATCCCTGCATAAATGCAGCAGGAGCAGCGGAAGAAGAAGAAGAGGAAAAAGATGTAACCAAATGTGTGTGTGTGTATATATATATATATATAGAGAGAGAGAGAGAGAGGACAACAAATGGCGGAAGAGAAGAAAAATGGTTGAAACTTGGAAGAGTGAGTGAGAGTGAGTTAATTGCAGAGTGTTTGCATACACAGGACTGAGCGTTTCTCTGTGGCCCAAGGCCTAACTCTTTAACGTTCGCTTTCCCTTATTATTAAAATTATAATAAATATTAAATATTCATCTAAAAATGTGTCCTATGAATAGAGCTAGTTTAAATATTAAGAAAAGGAGTTTTACTATTTATAATAAATATCAATTTAGTAAAAATTATATAAAATTGAAAGAAAAGTAAAAATATATTTAGTTAAATTTAATATAAACATAAAATAAAAAATATTAAGGCTAATTTGAGTATTTAATAATAAGAAAATCTGATTTATTACATTTTATAGTTTTAATATATAAACATGTTATTATTATTTTTAATAAATTTTAATTTTGAAATTTTGAAGGTTAATAGCGTTTATCTTAAGTAGACGGTATGCGTGGGCGCGTGAGAGGTGGGCGAAACGACAAATGGGGAGGCGTTTCGTATGGGTGCTGGGAAAAGCGGTTTTTGTGGGTAAGGTCAAACTGTGGCCCCGCCCTCTTACAGGTTATCTAGAAGATAATTTTGTTGAAACGATCATTTTTCTCTTTAATATTTAACACATTTAATACATCTGCAAATTATCTTTTGTATCTTTTATCAGGTCAAAGTTATTATCGTAAATAAATTAAATTTTAATTTTTTATTAAGATATGACTATTTCAAAGAAATTATTTTAAAATATTGTTTCATTAAAAATTTAGTCTTATAAAGCTTTTTAACTTATTTTTATCTGTAAAATCTTATTAAAAATTATTTTACGATATTTATGTTTGTTTATTTTTTATTATTACATTTTTTATAAAAATTAATTATATTTATAAAATTATATTTATGAATTTTTTCGAAAAACAATTTATTTAAAAACTTTATTTTATTATATTAAAGTATATATTTTAACTTAACATCTCCTGAAGTTTAACTTTCAATAAGTGTAATTGTGTTAAATATTTATTGTTAGTAATTTTATTTGTGGTTTAAACTAATAATTATAATATAATTTATTTAAAAATATATTAAAAATATAAAATCATTAATTATCAACTATTTTAAATTTCACAGCATTCATTGCTTTTAAAAATAATAAATAACTAAGTTATGAGGAGGATTTAATAAAGCTATAAAATATTTTTTATAATGCGAAGTTATTAAAAAAATATTATACAATGTTGTTTATATTGTCTTATTTTATTTATTAAACATATTTAAAATGGACAAATATTATCTTAATCTGTTAATGAAATTTTTATGTAAATCTTAAAATATAAAAAATATTGCTTAAAAATATATAATTATCAAAATTTAAATTATGTAAATTATTTCAAATACATGGAGGAAATACCTACTACCACAAAGTAAAAATAATAAATAATATTAGTTCACGAGACATGTATTTTAATTTTAAAAAAATTATAATCGTCTCTGTTTAAATAATATTAAGGTAGCACATGCATATTATTTAACTAAAGTCTCTATAATAAGTACATATTTTTGTTTGACCTTCATTTAGTTTCTTTAAGCCACACGACAACTTCTATAAATGTATTTCACATTTTATAAATACTTTGGTCAATTTTTTTTATTATCAATTAATATTTTTATGGATTTCTTATCTTTTTAGACAAACCTATGAATTATAAAGCAACAATATAAAGGAAAAAGGGTTTATCAACAAAGGACTTCAAATTGACACATTAATCATTCAATCTTCACAACAATTGAATAACTTTAAATATTTTCTCATAGTTCCTTACATTGGCTAGTGCATTGTAAGATCACTAAACAACACATTTACTAGTAAAACTCTACCAATAAATTTTAAAGCTCATGTAAAAATAAAATGTTATTAACATGCATTCATGTTGTTATACATTTTCGTGGGTTATTGTAAATTTTTATTCTTTTGATAAACATTTTGTTTAGAAAAGGAGTTTATGTGACATAAACTCATGCTTTCAGCAAGCACAATCCACTATGGAATCCTACTCAAGGTTTGTAAGGTTTAGGGTAATATTTGAGTAGTAACTTCCTTCTGTAAAACAATATTTCTTTCTATTTTAAAAACTATTATTATTAAATTAAATAAGTCAATAATCTACTTGAAAATAGTATTATGAATTGAATAAACTGCGTTTTATAAATATGTAAAGAATCATTAAATGTCTAGTCATATTAAATAATTAAATAGGCATTTAATATAATTAACTTTTTAACTGGATTAATTTGAAATTAAAAATATTATGAGTTTTTTTTTTCCACAAATTTTTGCTTATTTTAAGAGCTGTAGCTTGAATGATATTCACTTTTTAACAGATTGACTGATTTGAAAAGCAAATACTGTCTTGAATTTTAATTTTGTATACTTTGTTTAATAATCTACTTCCTCATTTTTTTACACTTTAACGATGATACTTTATTTATTTTTCGTTGTTGTCCATGAATTTAATGAATATATTTTTTTTAAAATTTATTTTTAGTAATTAATACGCGTCCAATAAAATAAATAAATATATAAAAAATAACACATTTTTAAATATATTTTTATTATTAATTAAAATTTATTAAAAAACAAAATTATATAAGTTACACTTATAATTTAATATTTTTAATCATACTTTTATAATTTATGATAAATTTAAGTTAATAATTAAAAATATATTAAAAATACTAAAAAAATTATTTATAACATTTTTTACTGAAATTTAATTAGTATAATAGATAAATGGTATAAACAAAAACAACTAGAAATCATTTTAAAAAATTAAAAATATCAATTATTTTTTCAATCTCTATAAAAAAAGCTTAAATGTTTTTAAAAAGGTAAAAATAAAATTTTTATTTAATTTGGTCATTTAACAGTAACTACACTAAATTATTGAAGCTAATTTAACGTAAAATTAGAATAAAATATTTTAATACTATTATATAACATTAAACGATTATTATTTATTATTAATTCAGTAAAGTGATAAATAAGTTTTTAAAAATAAAATTTAAAGTTTATCCTTTTTCAAAAATATATAATCATTAATTTGAAAAAAAAATGAATGAAAATAACTTACAATGTATCATGATTCCTTGAATCAGACAAAAGAGACACTTAATTCATTAATTATCGATACTATTTTTTTTATTATGATTAATAACATACTATTTTAAACATATATATTTTTGTTGAAAAAAGGAAATGACGTGGTGACATTTTAACACTTCAGATTTTATAAGTGACAATGCAAGGGGGAGTGATGCAGATGGTGAGGTGGATAAGAACAGGAGAACAAGACAACCTCAGATAACAAAAAACTGTCGTTTCAGTTTTCACAGACATAGAACAGAGGAACAAAGAAAGGAACAAAACAACCAAACCCAGTTCTGTTTCACTGTCTTGTGTTTTTCCCATTACATTCACAAATTACATTACATTCACTATTCTTCCTCTCATTTCCAAATCCCTCTTCTCTTTTCTTCTCCACGCCTTTTTATTTTTGCCCCTTAATTTAATTCTCAATTTTCACGAACCCTTTTTTCAATTTCTGCAATTGATCAGTAACGGGATTTTTGTTTATGCATGCGAACTATCTTTTGACTTCATTCGGCGTGCTGCTAATTGCCAATTCAGAATCAGAGTTGTCACTGTTAGTTTCCGAGTCCCTTTCTTGCGATATAGGGTTTACTCTTTATTTTATTTTATTTTAAGATTCGCGATTCTAGAATTTTTTAATCGTGATTCCCCTTCATCACGTGCTGGCTCTTTTGGGGTTTCCGAAAGTTGTGTTTTTTTTGGGCGGGAAACTGTGTCTACGAGTCAGCACTAGAATAGAACTGAATGAAATTGGGTTCTAAAGGGGATGGAGGATCCTTATGAGGTGATTGGGTCAAAAGGGTTGATAAAAAAACATGAATTTGTGAGGATCATAGTGCAGTGTTTGCATTCATTAGGGTATGGTAAATCTGCGGCTTGTTTGGAACTGGAATCAGGTGTTTCATTCAAGTCCCCAGAGTTTAAGTTGCTTGAATCTCGTGTACTGGATGGAGATTGGGATGGTTGTGTTAGTTTTCTTAATTCTATAGGGGATGTATTAGGTGATGATGCTAGAGAGTCCGCTATGTTTCTTGTCTTGAAGCAGTGTCTTTTGGAGTATCTGAAGCATGGTGAGGATTTTTTGGCTTTAGATGTGTTGAGGAAACGGGTTTCTGCGATGAATGTGGACCGTCGAAAGGTTCACAGGCTGGCTTGTAGTATGCTGACCTTGAAAGATGTGGATTTAGATGATGGTGATGTTTATGATTTACGGAGGAAGTTGTTGACTGATTTGGAAAACACGCTTCCTCCTCCAATTTCAATACCTAATGGAAGATTGGAGCACTTGGTTGAAACAAGTGTTACTGCTTGGGTTGACTCATGTTTATATCACAGTTCGTCAAATTCGATTTCACTTTATGAGGATCATCATTGTGGTAGGGATCAAATTCCTACTACAACTACTCAGGTGTGTTGGCTTTGTACATGATTACCACATGTGAAATAAATTGGTTGTATTTTTGAAGTGTTTTATTGTGGAAGTGTGAAATGTTATTTGAGTATATGCTGCTTACTGATCCAAATTAAAAGTTTGCATTGGCTGTCTTTTAAATGTGATTTGAAATGTAGATGTGTGCTTCTTCTGTATCAATCTATTATATATTGTTGCTTTTTGTGTGGGAAATATTATCTTTTCTGTTGGGCAGTATTCATGAAAATGATTATCTTTTGTTTGCATGTTTTGTAAGGTAGTGGTTTTTGAAGAATCCTTGCCCTTGTTGGTTAGGGCTTATATTCTCTTTCTATCTCTTCCCTTCCCTTGTAGGAGATGGACTTCCCATTATATATCATGAAAAGGGGAAATGCTATTGTTTCCATCTTCAAATAGTGTCCACCTGTGCATAAGCCAGACAAAGAATTATTGGTTGGCTTATGTAAAGTATGTGGCTAGTTAAGCATATATGATGGTATGAGTTATATAATAGCTTTTTAAGTGGAACAACGCATTTATGCTTGCTAGTGTCTACCATCCATATGGTTGTTGCACTTAAGTAGTGTCAAGACATTGCTTTTCTGTATGTCTGATTCATAGTCAGAATTCATTTATTGGATCATATGACAAAATATTAATTATGGTGGGTGCCTTGATGTGGTAATGGAGGATGAATCAGATTTGGAATTGTGGAGATAGATCTCCAAATTAATCTTCTACTTTTGAACATTTGACATTACATTCTTTACATATTAAACAACACTCTTTTTTCTGCTGCCATTGCTGCAGATATTGACTGGACATAAAAATGAAGTCTGGTTTGTTCAATTCTCTAATAATGGAGAGCATCTAGCTTCTTCATCCAATGATTGTACAGCCATCATATGGAAGGTATTATGTTAATTGCCTTATAAGAAGCATCTATTCTTGCATTAGTTAATGCTTCCAATATTCATTTCTTTTTATTTTTTTTTAGTTTTGATTAAATTTGTGTTTAGGCTCACAATTTGTATAATTAAAAAGTGGTTTGAAAAGACTTATATCTATTGTATTATTCACTAAAATTTGTAGTGCAGTGCATGATTTTTCAACTACTAGGTTCTTTGATTAGTTACAAAGAGACAAGCAAAAAGAAAATGATAAATAGACACATATTAGAGAGGATGAATAGCATATATAGGTTAGGGTAAAAATTGTGTTTTCTATATCTTTGCCGATGTCGTTAATTCCCTTATGTCAATTTCTACATGACAAGTGACTAGAAACTGTTTCAGATATCTGTAATGTCAATATTCAATGTAATTACTGCTGAGCTAATAAACAGTCAGGAACACTTCAAATGATGAAGGAAGACTAATTTCTTTTTATCGCATGATATCTTTTATACGTCTCCCCTAATATCATTTACATTTTGTGAAAAAAAAATCACGTTTTTAAAGACTTCAAATGATGAAGGAAGGGGTTTACAGTAAAGTATTTCCTTAAAGAATGGCTGGATCTCATTATCTTCTCTGGAAATTTATTGAAATAAAAATAAAAAGAATGGATGCCACTTGTTTGGTTAGGTGTTAGTATGTGTGGGAAAATTAATGAATGTTAGGAACTACTTACCAGGAATCTGCTGTTTGGTTAGATGCTATTTCTAACATGAAGAGGACAGTGTTACATCATTGTCAGACTCCCTACTCACATATTCCCTAATCCTAGTTACTGAAGGTGCATTACGAGAATCCTTGCCAGAGTCCTTGTTACAACAAGTGAATGAATAAATGATGGAAGAAATCAGTTTTATAAAAATACAAGCTCTAAAATAATAGGAATATAGCATGCTCGATATTTGCTGATTGTTGGACAGTGGCTGAACTCAAAAACTCGAATTGATTTTAAAGTTTGTCTCCTTTCTTCTTCTATTGGACAATTTTTTGACAGAGCTATTTAAGTCATTATATACTATACCAGGTTTGTTCATGGGAACAAGGGGTAGTGTCAAATGTAATAAATATAACTGGGTATATTTTGTGAGATGAAGTGCTCGTTTAACAAAACTTATCAGTCTTATCTGGCTTTTCAGATATTAAATTCCTCGCATTGATATTTGTTTTGATAATAAGACATTTGACAGTTCAACTGTAAAGGAAGGTGAAATTCCTTATATATAAAACTAAGTCATTTAAATTCTGCTAAATCATGTCAATTTAGTAGTTTATAAAACTTGGCAGATAAGAATAATATATAAAATTTTAGTTATTATGTGGGAATGGAGAAACATTGAGCAATTTGATTGTCAGGTGCTAGAAGATGGGAAGTTGATATTGAAACACACACTTTGTGGTCACCAACGGCCTGTTTCTTTTGTGGCATGGAGTCCCGATGACACTATGTTGCTTACATGTGGGAACACAGAAGTTTTGAAGCTGTGGGATGTTGAAACTGGTACATGCAAGCATACATATGGGAATCAAGGCTTTGTTGTCAGCTCATGTGCCTGGTTTCCCAACTCAACCCAGTTTGTGTGTGGCAGTTCTGACCCTGAAAAGGGTATCTGCATGTGGGATTGTGATGGAAATGAGATAAGAGCTTGGAGAGGAATAAGGATGCCCAAAGTTGTAGATATTGCTGTTACTCCAGATGGTGAGTATCTTATCAGCATATTCTTGGATAAAGAAATACGGATTTTGCATATAGAAACCAATGCCGAACGAGTCATTTCAGAGGAGCACCCTATCACGTCCATTTCAGTTTCTAGAGATAGTAAGTTCTTCATTGTCAGTCTGAACAGCCAGGAGATTCATATGTGGGATGTGGCTGGGAAATGGGATAAGCCGTTGAGGTATACAGGCCACAAGCAATGTAAATATGTGATCAGGTCCTGCTTTGGTGGATTGGATAGCACATTTATTGCCAGTGGCAGTGAGAATTCACAGGTAGTTTCCTTTTCCGAATGTTCTAATTAGTGGCAGCTAGTTATAGGAATATGAACAACCAAGTTTCCCTGCAATGCATTCCTTCATTATTAATTGTAGCACCTCAAAATTCATCTCATACAGGTATACATTTGGAATTCTCGGAACTCGAGGCCAATAGAGGTTTTATCTGGGCACTCCCTGACTGTGAATAGTGTGAGTTGGAATCCTAAAAGGCCACAAATGTTAGCATCTGCAAGTGATGATTATACAATTCGTATATGGGGACCAAGCTTATAGAAAAGAATGCAACTTGAAGAGTGCAGTTGAATACACATTGCATATTAAGTAATCAAGTCTAGTTTAGTGTACATAATATAAGCTCTCCATTATTTTCCTTCCACATTAAGTTATTCAGTATGAGTTTGTAAAAGTCCTGGTTTATCCATCCAGGAATTTTGGAATTTTGGTGTACATTTCCATCTGCAAATCTTCTTTCCATCTTTTGTTTTTATACCCTTCATTGGTCAGTTCCCCTTTAATTTGTGCAGAAACTAGAGACTGATGGGTAAAACTTTAAGTCTTTATTCTGGTTCACATTTTACTATGCTTTAATTTGTTCTTGCTGGGGTTTTTCCAAAAGTGCTTTTCCATGACCTTGATTGCTAGATACTCCTCAACATCTGAACTGAAAAATTATGACAGTTACTCTGTTTTAGAAAACAAAAACAAACACAATTGTTTGAAAATGCTAATTAAGAGGCTTGGTCCAAAGTTAAAAGTCTGGGAAGCATAGCTTTACGCTGCGTAATAATCCAACTTGACACAATTCTATTAATTAGATAATTAATGTGATATTCAAATATTCGTGAATATCCATTTAATCATATTTACGAATCTATAGTCAAAGATTTGAATCTAAGTTACGATAAATATGCTCTGTTTATTTATTTGTTTTTGTCTCCAATTTCATATTCCAGAATATTTGTCTCGTTTTGATAGTATTTATGCGTTGTGTCATTTTTCCTAAATAATTTGATAATTTGAATCAACAAAATTAATTAAGTTAAAATTTTTAAGCATACTTAGAGAAAATTTGAAGTGAAGGCATTATTTAATTAAAAAGTGAAGGCATTTTATTCAATTAAAATTGAAGATATGAGAGGTCAATACATCTTCGAATAACAATGTGTAGAAGTTCTTACGGGGTCTTTCTCAACCTAAACATTATGAACAAAAGATAAAAAAGCTAATTTTGCCAAAAATTAACAACTCTGTTGTCAAATCTTCTGACATGATAAAGATCACAGAAGCCAACTAATCACAACCTTAAACAACATTCAAATAATAATGTGTGAATCCAATTCCCTTTTGTTAATGCAATGATGCATCAAACTTGAAAAATTCACGTGGTTGGGACCATGTGCGCATGACGCCATCATCAAAGCTTAGATGGGATAAATGTTATTCACTTGTATTATTTGCAAACAAACTAGTTTTACTTTCCAATAATGTGTTTCACGTCCATACACCAATAGCTAAACACCCCCCATCTGTTCCTAGAACGCCATATGATCCGCAACAAGGTGTAAAACACTCTTATTGAACTTTTGTAAGAACTCATTCAGTTAAAATCATTTATTCTCCTTTAGGTATGGATATATTTTTATAAAGACAATTTTGTTCAATTCGTATAAGATTATTATGAGCGAATAATAAAATTTTTCTCGTGTGACTACATGTTAAGATAGAATAGCTCTTGACTATTGGTTTAAGTATAAAAAGTGACATGAAAACAATATCAAATAAACAAATTTTTTTAAAAAAATAATACTATTTACATAAAATAATAATACTTATTATCATATAAAATGATTCTAAATTTCATCTACACAAATATTACACAAATATTATATACTACTATAAATAGGTCAACTTCAAAGATCAATGTTTACTTATAATTGTGTTATTTGACAATTTTTATAAAGATGCATGTTTTATTATTTTTTTTGTATTTGATATTCACATAAAATAATTATATTTTTATAAATTTATATGCATTCATACTTCTTTAATTTGTTATAATTTTTTGAAACAACTCAAATATTTGAAGTTGAGCCACGAACTTTTTATATATTTTTGTTTGGTTAAAAATAATAACGATGAGGAGAATAACAATACTAACAATAACATTAAGGGAAAATTGGTATCTTTTCAAATAGTTTTCTTACAAATTTATGCAAGTCTTTTAACCATTCGGTTTACATGCCAAGGAATGCAAGTGTTAGGCATTAACCAAACACACTTGTCTTTTCTAATAATCGAGAACGAGGGAGCTTGGAGTGGAAGCAAAGATTGGATAAGGAAATTACTATGTTAAATTCCAACATTTTCTGTCTCTTATATTACTGCCACATCCACAACTCAACAGACAAACTAATCCCAACTCCTAATCTTGTTCTTCCCCTCACATGATTTAGCCTTACCTGTTAGTTAGGCATAAACCTATGTTCGTTGCCACATCATCCTTATAATTAGATTTTCACGTTTCCACCCCAAAACTTCATCAAATCTTCTTTTCACCCCCCCAACAAAAAAAAAAGGGATTCTTTCTACCTGTCCCCCCCCTCTCTCTCTACAGAGAGGATCTTCGTTGTTTGAACGAACTTGCCATCCAAACAATGAAAAGTGCCCTTTCAGAAATCAGCTACTAACATCTCAGATTTGATCCTTTTCCTTTAATCTCAAATTTTCATGGAAATGATGACACCTTCTCCGTGTCATGATCACCCCTCTTCCTCCTATAATTCTTGCATCAGGTCACAATTTCCCCTTCTGTTTTTGTACATTTCATTTTGTTTCTAAGTTTTTCCTTTTCTTGTTCGTTCTCTGTTTTATTCCTTTTTTTCTGTGTGGGTTTTCTATATGCTGCATTTTGGAGACATTTGAATTCTGGGGTGGAAGACATCATGGAAATTTGCAAACTTTGCCGAATTTTCTATGATTCTTGACGCATTTTCTAGATGAGATTTTTAAGTGGCATCGTGATTGTGCCTAAAATATGTGTTTATTAATTCCGAGGTTGATTTTGTATGAGTATAATGATGCATAGTTTTCGAGTTGGATGAGATCCATTTGGTTTGGTTTTTTTAAGTAAGTTTAAATTTTTAATGGTTATGAACATCAATTCGCAGTCACTGACTCAAAAACCAGCAAAGGTTAGGGGCTGAGGTTTGGTCCAGTTATTTGTACCTAGATAGCTAAGGGGTGAAGTTATGTAATTTGATTTATAACATGCATCACGTATTCCTGTTGCCTAATTGGGAGTAGCTAACAACTTTTTTTAGCATGGGAAGAAAATTACATGGATTTAGTGACCATAAATACTTGATATCTTGTGGCAGTTACTGGATTTTTTTATGCATACTCTGGAATCTGGATGATTAAGGAGCATTTTAATTCTTAACCAATTTTTCCATAATTTATGTTCCTGCCACTTGGTCTGTTTGACATCAGACATCCCAAATGCATATAGCATTGTTCTTGTAAAGCTATTATAAGCCAGTGATTCATTAGTTTCTTAATAGAACTATGACCTTCAAATTTACTACTGTCATCCGAGGGAGAAAACAGAACCCCCCTCCCCTCAATAGTAAATTCAAAGTTAAATATTTTTTCATGACTTTTTTCAATTTTGTCAGTGGGAGAAATGTCTTTAGCTTGTTAGCACAAAGAGAGATATCACCTAGAACCAAACATGTGCCAAAATGGCACTGGGGAGAACCTTCTAAATCAAAAACCGGTTCTTGGTCCCATCCTAAAAATGAAGCAGTGACAGATGCAAAACGTGGTCTCCTTTCATGGTACTTGCATAACTTTGGTGTACAGTTTATATCAAGGAAAAAGCAACCCTTCTAAGAATGGATTTACTTCCTTTCTTTAAGGAAAGTCAAATTACTGGACTAACATCTCTAAAAGTGGTTGTCAGGGTTGAGGCTGAGTCATTGCGGGAATTGTCAGCTATGTATTGTCCTTTGTTTCCTCCCCCACGGTCTACTATTGCAGCAGCATTTAGTCCAGATGGAAAACTTCTTGCCTCCACGCAGTAAGATGTAACTGGCTTTTCTCCTCTTCTGCTAATTTGAATTGAAGACCCATTTGTGATTGATTTGTTGTATCTGTTTGGCATGTGCAGCGGCGACCACACGGTAAAGATAGTTGATTTTGAAACTGGAAAATGCTTAAAGGTGTTAGTAGGTCATAGAAGGACACCTTGGGTGGTAAGCTTAAAAACTGCCACTTTGCCTTAGTTACTTGTGTTTTTTTATCACTTTCTTCTATTACTGATTGTATATTTTAGAAGGAATATTTTAAATTTGTTAAGGCTTACTAATACTTTTATTACTAACATTCTCCCTCAAGCTAAGGCTTACAAAGTTATAAACTTGTTATGAATATACCTTTTGTTAAATAAATAATACAAGGCCCACTAAGCTGGATTGAAAAGGAAACACAGGGCTTGATTAGAGCATAAAAGGACTGCTAACATTCCAACAATAGCTGGAGATTTATGGAGAGTTTACTGGCAAGTCGGTGGAGGTGACAGCTTTGCTATAATATAGTGGTAGGTGAAAACATATAAATCTGGAGAAAGGGGCCTGAGCACATCTGGGACAAAAACAAGGCTAGACTCCATCAAGGACAAATACAGGAGCCACACTACATTTGGGACCAAAGATGGAGTGGTTGAGTTGCGGTTAACATTAGCCATACTTGAGAATTAATTTTTGAGATAAATTTTGTTCTGTCTAATTACATAACAATTACATGTATATATAGAAGACTAATGCTTATTTTTTCTATAATAGACTATCTCTTAATAATTACAATGAATGAATGAAAATAAATCTATACAACAAATAATAATGATGAAGATATATGTAGAGAAAACTGATTACAGAAATTGAGTCATCTTCTAACTCTCTCTTGAACTTCATTTCGCAGGCTGAAAGTAATTTAACTCACCTTATTCCTTAGCAACTCTAATTGTCCTCTTCAAAACAAAATCTTGAAAAACCATAATGAAATGAAAAAGGTTATTGCACAATTTAGATTACAAGTGAGTGTATGAATTAAAATAAGGTTATTGGGGGAACTTAAGAACATGAAGAACAATTTGTAATGGGAAAGAATTGGTGAAGTGAATATTATCATGCCCAAGAATGAAAATTTTTGAATCATCAGTGACTGTGATGTGAGGGTGTGTACTAGATAAAGTGAAATGTGAAGTGAAAGAGGAAAGAGGAAGGATTGAGAATCATGTGGTCAGAAGCATTAAAGTCAATTATCTAAATTTTTTCAGGAACATAATAAGAAGTATTAAAAGAAGAGAAACTATAATTATTACTGGTCATGACAAGAGTAACTGTTTGATGACTTATTCAAGAAGGAGCTAAGAAGTGTTCGCATGGGTTCTAATTCTGTTAGAGCAAAAATTTCTTCTTCATTAATTGAAATAGCCTTTGTAATTGCTTGGTTTGCGTATCTCTGTTGAAACCTTTAAAGCAAGTTTCCTTAATATAACCATGTTTCTTGCAATGAGTACACTAGTGGTTGTCTTTGTTAAGTACTTGGGCCTAATTTTTTAAAAGCTAGCTCGTAGAAGTATTCTAATTTTATTTCTAGTCAATATAAAACATCTTAAAATGTCCCTTCACATCTAGGACAGACATCTGTTGTGTAAAGTTTGCAGGACTGGACATTTGAAGATGGCAATAGAACTAGACATTTGTGGACAGAGCTCAACATTCAAACTAGATAGACTATGATACCATATTAGAAAATTTGGGCTTAACTCACTTCTAAAAACTAGCTTATAAGGAATATTCTGATTATATTCCTAGCCAATGTGGGATATCTTAAGATTAAATTTTTTAAAGAACTTACCAAATGATTCAACTTTAGGTGACTTTCTGGAAGAAAAGATTGCTAAATCGTCAATGTTCGTTTCTTCTAACATTACAACTTGCGATTCTCCTTACTAGAACAATATGGAAAACTTTAGATAGAGAAGCGAGATTCTTCTTGCCTAGTATTTAAACCTAAATGGAATCGTACTTTAGGCCACAAAATAAAGTTAAAAGTTCTGCATTTTTCAATAAAATTGTTGAGTGTAATAGAATCCTCTTTGCATTTTATCTTCAGGCTTTGGTCCAATTCAATCCATAGTTCATTAAAGATCCCAAAATACTTTGTCACAGATAGAGACTCTTGCCTGACATTAACAATCTGGTTCTCCAATCATGATAGGCAACATCTTACTTTTTGGGGAACAAGTTTGACGTAGGTTATTCCAAATTTCCTTGACAATAGAAAAGAACATGCAATTTTGTTTAATTTTTATAGTCATAGAATGCTACAATCAAGTAGTAATAGGAGAATATTCATCATTTCAAGCCTCAAACTTTGGATCATCCTTATTATGAACCTCCCTCCAATGTAGTTCAGCTTCTTATGTCCCTTGAGAGTTGGGCAGAGCAATTAGGCCCACTAAAGATAGTTCTGACTGTCAAGACAGTATGATCCCTGTAATATGGGGAGGTTGTTGGGTCCAAGGGAGACAAGGGGCTTAGTAGTGGGGTTCTTCTGTTCAGTCATAATAGAAAAATACTTATGTTTCAGGACATAACACTTAGGGTTTGAAAGAATAATGTCCTCAACAGTCACAATGAGGGCAGTATAGGGTCACAATCAATAGAGGATGTCCTGAAAAGCAAGTTGATGCTGTGGAGAGGCAAATCACAGTCGAGAGGGCGGCTCATGGGAGAACGTTAAAGCTCTGTTAGGGATGGAATTTCGAGGATAGACTGGTCTTGGCAGTGCACTTTAGATGGTGTGGTTCCAGAGGTAGTCAATGGTCCAGGGGCAGCAACATTTGGTGGCTATACGGTGGAAAAACAGACAAATAGAAAGTCAAGCACAATGAAGGTGTTGCAGGTTTAGGGAATGCCATAATGAAGACGGGTGCTATGTTTGAGTGTCAAGATGAAGGTCCCTAGAGTTTGCGGTTGGAAACAGAGACCTGAAGATACCAATTTGAGAATTAACTTATGAGATAAATTATGTTATGTTTAATTACATAACAATTACCTGTATATATAGGAAACTAATACTGAATAGACAAAAATAGTGAAAATAAATCTATACAACAAATAGTAATAATGAAAATGTATTCTCAATAGTCATCACTAGATGATTGTTGGTAGGAGGAGAAGTCAATATTGGTATGATATGATTAATTAGTGCACAAGGATGACATGACATATCTTTTATCTTTCTCCCCTGCAATGTTGTGCAAGTGTAACAAAAATTCTTATAATAGCCAAAACAATGACAAACCAAAGATGAACGCCACAAAACGATCCTAACACATCAAACCTAATGGAAAGAGAGTACGCATCAAATCTAACCACTAAAGAAAAAAATCTAGGTTTTTAGTGGCTGGAATTTGTGCATGGTCAACGAGAAGAAAATAATCATGGAAATAATGGCATTATTGCAATCGAGTTCTAGATTTTAAGGAGCTTGGAAACAAAATAGTGATGAGACAAGTCACAAAGGATGGTACCCCTAAAGTTTATAAATAATATTATGATTTTGAATGTGGACTCGATTCAAAAGTGATGAAGGGTGATTGCATTACAAGCTTGAGTAACTTGTCTAAAATGTTTTAGACTATTTAGACTTAAAACCTTCTTACTTATATACCTTTTGATTTGTTGTTAACCTATAAATAATATTCTATTATATGCATTGGTGTGTTACAAAAGTCAAGATCCTACTTAAGCTAATGCTAGACTCCTAAATCCTAATCCTAATCTTAATTAAATAGGAAACCAAGTAAAGAAATATGGAAACCTCTCCTAAAGATCATCTAAAATATTCTAAATATTTTAAGATACAATAATGATATTAGGACATATTTTTCTCGATGTTCTGGCATGTACTATCATCTCTGCCCTCCTGTAAGCATTTTACCTTCAGAATTTTGCATTTTTCAATTTTATTTATTTGTTGATTGGCTTCAGGTTAGGTTCCATCCATTGCAACGACAAATACTTGCTAGTGGGAGCTTGGACCAAGAAGTTTGTTTATGGGATGCTAACACATCAGAGTGGATATTATCTCACTACTTCTGTAATTTACTGTTCTTCCTCCCTTTTTTTCTAAATTACAGTTGTAACTATTACTGAATTTGTTTATTGTTCTTTTTCTTGCAATTGTTGGGTTCTCTCTGGTGAATTTGTCGGATTATTCTTACAGATCGCCCCATTGCATCCATTGCTTTCCATGCCAATGGGGAAATAATTGCAGTTGCATCAGGCCACAAGGTAATGTAATGATTTTTCTGAAAACCATGTTCAAATCTCCAAGGATTTATTCTACGATTGATGGCATATTCTTTTTCTGAATCTTGTTATGTTGTGTTTTGGAATACTGTGTCAGTTGTATATGTGGCACTACAACAATGGAGGCAAATCTTCCTCACCAGTATTTGTGTTGAAGACAAGGCGTTCACTCCGGGCTGTGCATTTTCATCCGTATGGTGCACCATATCTTTTAACTGCTCAGGTGAATGAACTGACATGTTTTTTATTGATTGTCTTCCCCTGGAATACAAAAACATCACTTTTTGCATTTTCTCTTTGGTTTCCACATTTGAATTGATGTACAGGTCAATGATCTTGACTCGTCAGATTCCTCAATGACCGAGGCAACATCTCTTGGTTATTTACAATATCCTCCACTTTCTGTTTTTGTCACAAATGTTCATCGTACGAAAACATATACTGTAGATGAGTCAAGAGTAGAATTACAGCATGCTAGTCATGATGTTGGTTCAGCTAACATGCAAGTTGAATCTTCCACCATAGCTCAGTTTCAAGCGGACTTGAATGCAACAGAACAATATGATACTGCATTATCATTCTCTGAGATTCCCACTAGCTCTGAAACTGGCGCAGAATATAATGCCCATACTGCTTTACCCAATCAAATGAGAATTGGTATCAGTAACCTCACAGTGGGAAGTATGGAGACTAGTGAAACAGAACCAACTGAAGGAGGCCAACATGAAAACTCTGCCAATGTTTATTCTCTTGATGGAATGCTACATGGACTATCTAGACATGCTGCAAACCGTGAGGATCTCTCTGAAATTTGTCAGTTTCATCAATTTTTTCCTTCAAGAGACTCAAGTATATGGGAACCTTTTCTGCAAGGATGGTTAATGGGTCAAAACCATGCTGGTGTTCCCTCAATCCGTCCTTACATTGGTGGTAGTCAAGAAAGCTTTCCTAAACAGATAGAATCTTCCACCTCAGCTTCTTATCAGTCATCGAGTAATGCTGAGGTAACATTGACTTCCTCAGATATGCCGGGCAACATCAGCATAACAGCAGCATCTGTGAGATCAGGTTTACGGAATCATTTTTCACAATCCCGTTTACCTGTATCAGATTCTGGTAATCTTGCTGCTTCTAGTAATTCTCCACATGATGGATCTGACAGGCAAGCCATTATAAGCCGAATCCAGTCAGAACTTGCCACATCAGTAGCTGCTGCAGCAGCTGCTGAGTTGCCTTGCACTGTCAAATTAAAAGTATGGTCGCATGACTTAAAAAATCCTTGTGCCCCACTAAGTAGATGCCGTCTAACTATACCCCAGGTTGTCCTCTGCAGGTACCTTCTGAAGTTATAAACTTATAAATCTGCTCCTACATGTGATTGACATGGTGTAATTGTTGTCTGGCCTTGCTTTTCTTGCAATATGCCAATTGAATGCTTTTTCTTCTTTTCTTGTGAATAATTATGGACCCATTGCTCCATACAAATGGCTTAATGTTCTCAATTGTCGTTTATTAATGTTTGGAGTGACTTCATTGAACTATATGCTCCATTGCATTTAGATTTTTAATTTGTAATTGTTTTTGCAGTGAAATGGGTACCCATTTTTCACCATGTGGTAGATTTTTAGCTGCCTGTGTTGCTTGTATGCTTCCTCATATAGAAGCTGATCCAGGATTACAAAGTCTAGTACATGAGGAGCCTGGTGTTGCCACATCGCCAACTCAACATCCATTCTCAGCACATCAAGTAATCTATGAGCTTCGAATATATTCCCTTGAGGAGGCAACGTAGGGATCACTTCCGGCAAAAACTATTATTAAGCATTTAATTATCTCTCTCACACAAGCATTTTCAGTTTTAGGGAGTCGATTAAATTTTTTGTAATCTATGTTTCTTAAACAGATTTGGATCAGTGCTTGTATCACGGGCAATCAGAGCTGCTCATTGTCTGACTTCAATTCAGGTCATTTATTTACTTTTTCATGCGGTTGATGTACTTTGCTTAAAATATTTGAATTTTAAATAGATTATTGTTAACAGTTATAAATTTAAATTTTAAGAAAATATGCTCGTTACTGTACTTTTTGAACTGCTGGTGCTAGGTAATTTGTATGGTCCTCCCTTTTCATCAGATTACAACAATTTTCCTTCATTTGTCTTTTTAATTTTTGTATTCATCGTATGTCCTCGTATTTCTATTCTCAGCTGCTGGGCTCCCTCTTTTACTCACCTATTTCTGTTATGATATTTGAACATTAATAGCTACTTCTGTTATTTTTCTTCACTTGATAAACTATAATTAAAGAAATCCTTTTCTTGGTGGATTGAATTTGTGCAACTGTTTTTTGATATGTAGTTCTCACCTACATCTGAGCATATATTGCTTGCCTATGGTCGGCGTCATGATTCTCTTCTTAAAAGTATTGTCATTGATGGAGAAACAACATTACCGATATACACAGTGCTAGAGGTAAAATGCTCTTTTTATTTTTCTCAATCTTAAAAATATCCTCTCGTCTGAGTTGTGCTTCGTATTGAAATAATATATTTCCAGATATTGTAGTCCATATAATCATTAGTTTACCAGGAAGCACTGTTTCTGAACATCAAATTCATATTCTGTTGCCTTGATTGCTAGTGACACTGACAATCTTTTGTGTTTATGTTTGGACAGACGGTATTGTTGCCGGTCATCTCATTCACACCCTTAATGTAGTTTGAGTTTTGTTAAGCTGAATTCCATGTCCCTAAGTTTGCTTTTGTCTTTCAGGTATACAGAGTTTCAGATATGGAACTTGTTAGTGTGCTTCCTAGTGTAGAGGATGAGGTCAATGTGGCATGCTTTCATCCTTTTGCTGGGGGAGGGCTTGTTTATGGAACAAAGGTATGCTTTTGTGTGTTACTGAAAACTTTCACTTTCATTCTTTAATTAATAAATGATAAGCTTTCACTTGTGGTTGTAGGAAGGAAAGCTTAGGATATTCCAGTTTGATCGTGCTCACATTGTGAATGGCACTGGATCAAGTTACTTCCCTGAGGAGAATATTATTGGAGTCAGTTAGTGAGCAAGGTTAAATACTTTACTTATTGTTGTAGTTTGTAATGTTTATTAGATGATTATGAAAGTAGTCTTTGATTCATTGGGTACCGTTAAATTTTTGGAGTTTGTATAATTAGAAGAAAGAGAGAAGAGAGAGAGAGAGATTACTGTGCTAGAATTGGATACTCTACAATGTGTAGAGACCCTTATATTTAAAAGGATACATATGTAACCCTACTGGACCAAGCTCGTTATTATAATACTAACATAAACTCTAATCCTAATAAGTCTATTATAGTTATTCATAACACTTCCCCTCAAGTAGATATTAATCATGCCAGCTTGTTACAAATATAATTGCTACGTGTCTCATTTAAAACCTTTGTAAACACATCTGCTAATTGGTTGTCTGTCCTAACATGAGAGATGAATATAAGCTTCTGCTGAACTTTTATCTCGAATAAAGTGATAGTCTATCTCAATGTTTCCTTCGTTCATGAAAAACTGGATTTGAAGCAATATGCATCGCTGCCTAGTTATCACACCAAAGTTGCATAGGCTTAGTACTACCAAATCTTATCTCTTTCAACATATGTTTTCAACCACATTAACTCACAAGTAGTTTGAACTATTGTCCTGTATTCTGATTCCGCACTCGATTTCGATACAACGTTCTGCTTCTTACTTTTTCACAAAATTAAATTACTTCCCAAAAACACACAGTATCCGGTAGTAGATTTTTTGATCTTGCCCAATTAGCATCAGAAAACACCTCTATCTGTGCATGTCCATGATCTTTGTACACAATTCCTTTTCTTGGTGCTTTCTTCAAATACTTCATAATGCAGATTAGTGTTTCCCAATAAATATCCGTCAGAGATGATATAAACTAGCTAACAACACTCACTAAAAAAGCAATATTTGGCCTTGTGACAGTCAAGTAATTTAGCTTGCCTACTAATCTTCTGTATTTTTTGTGGATCTATAAAAGGAACTTCATCTGCTATCAGTTTCACTCCTGGCTCCATAGATGTCTCACATGATTTAGCTTTTTTTAGTCTAGTCTTAGTGAATAAGTCTAAGAAATATTTTCTCTATGAAAGGAAGATTCCTTACTTGGAGTACATGACTTCACTACCTAAGAAGTATTTCAAAATTCCTAAGTTTTTTGTCTGAAACTTAATTTGAAGAAATTTTTTTAGGTTACTGATTCTTTCTTTGTCGCTACTTGTAATAATAATATCAACATAAATAACAAGTAAAATACAATCATGGTTAGTCTGTTTATAAAACATTGTATGATTACTCTCACTCCTCACTAATCCAAATTCTAGAATCACATTACTGAATCTCCCAAACCATGTTCTAGGTAATTATTTCAAGCCATATAATAACTTCTTTAAATGAAACACTCTTCTGCACTCCCCCTGAGCAACAAAGCCAGGTGGTTGCTCGATGTAAACCTCCTCCTGTAAGTCTCTATGTAAGAATGCATTCATGACATCTAACTGGAATAATGGCCAATGATACATAGCTGCAAGAGAGATGAAGATACGAACAGATGAGAGTTTAGCAATTGGAGAAAATATATCAGTGTAGTTAACGCCATAAGTTTGGGCATACCCTTTTACAAGTTGTGCCTTCAAATGAGCCACAAAACCATCCGGATTAACTTTCACAGTGTAAACCCACTTGCAACCAATAGCCTATTTTCTCTTAGGAAGAGGAACCAAATCCTAAGTATCATTCGTCTCAAGAGCCAACATTTTTTCTTCCATAGCATGTCTCCAACTATCATGACTGAAGACATCTGCAAGGGTCTGAGGAACAGAAAGAGAGTATACCAGCCATGAAGGATTTAGATGTAGAGGATAAATGAGCAGACATTACATAAGATGAAATAGGATAGGTGCCAGATCTCTTACCTTTACGGATAACAATAAGAAGGTCAAGGTCAGACAAAGGATCTGTTTACACTTGAGAAGATAACAGTAGAGGTTGAGTATCATATGCATCATCTGAAGGTTGTTTCAATAGGAGCTAGAGGTGCAACAGGATGTGTAGATTGGACAAGAGTATAAGTCAAGAAAGGTTCATCTAACTCATACATGGACTTAGAAGATGCAGACTTAAAGAATGGAAGACTTTCAAAAAAAGACACATCAGAGGAAATAAGATAACAACCAAGATCAGGAGAAAAACAACCGTAACTTTTTTGTGACCAAGAATAACCCAAAAACACACATTTTAGAGACTTTAGATCAAATTTAGTTACCTGAAGACGAACATCAAATACAAAACAAGTGCAGGAAAAAACTTTAGGTAGTAAAGAAAAAAAGATTGTGATGGAAAAAGTATAGATTGAAGAATCTCATCATATAGCACAGATAATGGCATGCGATTAATTAAATAAGCAACAGTAAGAACGGAATCAGCCCAAAAAAGTTTAGGAACTTTCATTTCAAACATTAGAGCACTGGCTACCTTCATAAGATAACAATTTTTACGTTCAACTACATTTTGTTATGGGGTAACAATGCAAGAGGACTGATGAAGTATGTCATGTTTATTCATAAAACTAGTGAAGGATGCAGAAAAATATTCTTTAACATTATCACTTCTAAGGATGCGCACACAAGTATTAAAATGACTTTTAATTTCAGCACAAAAATTACAAAATATAGAAAAAACTACAGATCTAGATTCCATCAACATTAGAAAAATCATCCATAAAGGTAACAATATTTAAAATCAGATTTAGAAGTAATTGGACAAGAGAGCCCTAAACATCAGAATGAACAATTTCAAAGGGACATGAGCCCTTTTATTTAAACGAAGTAAATAAACATTATGATGATGCTTAGCAAGTTAACATGACTCAATAGAAATTAGACTATATAATAGGACATAATTTCTTAAAAACTCCTAAAGACGACAATGAAGTTGGAAAGGAGACACTTTTTCATTCCTAGAAGTGATAGAAGCTTGCAGAAGTCCTTTTTCTTCTAATACATATAGCCCATTAGATACTCTACCTCTACCAATAATCCTCTATGTACTAAATCCTAAAAAACACAAGAATCAGAAAAAAAAAATGTTACTAAACAATTTAATGATGAAGTGATTTGACTAATAGACAGCAAATTTAAGAAGAATTGAGGCAAATATAAAACAGAGGATAAAGTTAAGGTTGAAACTGGGATGATATACCCATTGCCTTTAATGTTGACACTAGAACCATCAGTGAGTGTTACAGAAGAATGAGAACTGACTAGACAAAAAGAAGAAAAGATACCTAAATTTTCAGTTATATTATCAGTAGCGCCAGAATCAATGATCCAACGCTTAGAAGAAGAGGAAAAACATGCAGTAGGATTACCTTTTTGGACAAAAGTGGCTATAGAGGATGTAGACGGCTGTTGAAAATTCTGAAACCGAGTATACTGAATATATTTCTCATCAATCATAATCACAATACGTCTTTCTTTCTTTTGAGTAGCTGTATCAAACTGAGACACCGAATTAGCGAAGCAGGAACCACCTTGTGAGTGAGAAAATGTTTGATTTTGTGGAGGATGAGTGCACTAATTCTGATAATGGCCAAATTCGCCACAATTGTAGCACTGTACAATACCATGATCTCCACTACACCCACAGCCACGACTACCTCTACCACCTCTATCACCCCTACGACCACCACGGTGACTGTATTGGAATGCCAAGGTAGAGTGGTCAGAAGACTCATTTTTTGTAGTGCTTTTGGGTTCCTCAAAGGAAAAGACTGCATAACTTTGGAAAAGACATCGATAAGATTATCAACTTACTTACTTGATAGAATCTGAGACCGAATGACCTCGTATTCCAGATCAAGTCCAGAGAGACAACTCAAAGCCATGAGTTCTTTTGTTGCACTATCATCTCGTCAATGGTTTTGCAGGCTAAAAGAGATTGTATCTCCTCAATATGCTTCTTAAACTCCAAAAAATAATCCATTAGCTTCCGCTTATTTTGTTTGGGTCGATAAATTTCCTGCAAAAGAGCATATAACCGATTCAAATTATCAGATTTCTCAAAAATAACTTGCAAGAAGTCTCCTTACTTCTTCATGGTTTTGCAATAGGTAATAATTGTTTGTATTTGCCTATCAACAGAGTTTACTAGCAACACATGAATCTTTTTGTCACGTATCGTCCATCTGTCAATCTCCTTTGGATTGACAGGTGTCGTTTCGATCAAATGATTATCCTTTTCTATTCCACCTAGGCTATACTCAACTAAATACTTTCATTCCATATAGTTCGTACTGTCTCCATCCAGCTTAACATCGATAAGTTTGGATAGAGGTACAATTTCTGTAACAGCTCCCTTGTGCTGCATATCTTGCACATCCTAACTATCACATTCAGACATTGTATATCCATAAACAGTGATGGAACTACCTGGATTTCGTCTCAATGACTAGAAAGAAATGCTGCACTCAAACTATAAACATTGAATTACAACATATTCTGGTCACCCGAAAAAATTTTCATTCCCACAGTAGCTATGGTCAGCTTTTTCTGAAGCTATTGCTTTTTTTTTTTTTTTCGCAGCGGCGGCAACCCTGGTGGCAGTGGGCAGTGGTGGCGACGAAAGAGGAATCCTAGAAGGCTCTTGATACCATGTAAAACTAGGAGAGAGAAAGAGACAGATTAGTGTGCTGGAATTGGATGCTTTACAATGTGTAGAGACCTTTATATTTATAAGGATACATATGTAACCTTACTGGGCCAAGCTCGTTATTATAATACTAACATAAATCTTAATTCTAATAAATCTATTATAGTATTATAGTTATTCATAACAAAGATGATTGGGTGACAACTGACAAGTAATGAATGTCTAGTTTAGATAAGGATTAGCGATAGGTTCTATTGATGGTGCATTCGCCTAAACTCTTGGTACTGATTTGATGTTCTTATTGAAAATGAAAACAGTGTTTAGGTTGGTTATGTCAGACATTTTGGTTGAAATTTTCTGATGAGGATAAATTAGAATTCTTGAAGCCAAATTTTTGTTTTTTAAATAATATTTTCCTGTGAGCAGAAATCAATTTTTTTCCTTTGTTTCCTTTCTGCTCTTGGTTAAGTATTTTACAATCGATGCAAGAAAAAGTATAAAGTATTTGTTATATCATGGCCATTTTCTGCCCTCATAATGTATTTGAGTTTCACACGTAACGTGTTTTAGTAGCTCAAAAGTTGTTAACTATTGGTCATTGCATCGTGGTTACAATGAGAGTACTCATTGCTTTTTCTTTGTGTGAAAACTCATGTCTTTGTTGTAAATTTAGCATGACTTGTTATGTGTTAGAAGGAAGATGTATTTGATGTGTGATCTCTTCGAAGTCTTAATTGGAGCAAATTATGGAAGAGTTTACGAGGAAGAGAGTGATGAAAATTTGTCTCAAGAGAGGATTATCTTGACTGTAATGTGTTATTAACTATTGGCTTAAGCAACTTTCTGTTATTCACAAATCTAGAGGGAAATTGTAAAGCCTTTCGTCTTCCATCATCCTCTGGTCTTCTTTCTGTGAAAAGATATTGTATACCCCTTATCTTTTTACTCTTTTTTGACAAGTAACTATTTTCTCTGTTTTATCAGATGCAAACTTCTTTGTCTTAATATGCATTTGAATCACAAAAGTTGACACATAATTTATTTATCCTTAGAAAATTACTGTGTAATTGTAGGTTTGGACTCATGATTGGGGATAGAATTCAGCATGGGCATCAGATTTATCTGCACGACTAAGATGGTTAGTAGAAGACTCTCAACCTCCTTCCTTATTTCTTTTTTGTTTGTATTTGGGTAGTTTGAAGTGTAACTCAGTAAACACTGCATCAACTTTTCTATTCATGTAGTGGAAAAGATATTTTTCAAAAGGATCATTCTGTAGACCTCTCAGACAGTTTAGCTTTCTCGCAATAAGATGTATCATGAGAGTTTATATTTCTATCAAAAAACGAAGCTAATTGAAAGATCAGCACAGCCAATTAGATCTCCACCTTCTTGAGGGTCCAACTTTTGATAAAATTATCCTTCTTTCTAATTTGTAAGTTGAGGTTTAAAAATATGTCTGATCCCCCATGCAGCTATCTCTGCCAATGATCCAGATCTATACAAACAACACAACACACAATACTTAGCACATGCAACCAACTGCTGGCTGGAACTCCAGACTCACTGCATCAACAAATGCATATCTTGTATCATTCATGGATGAACATGTACCAATATTGTCCTACACTTCAATTCAACTCTTTTGTATTTCTTCCTTTTGTCTCCAACCCTGTACCCCCATCACATAAAGGGGGGCATTATTTTTCATTTCTGTGTAACACTATAACAAGTACAGTGGCTAAAAGAAACATACAAAGAAAATATTTCGTCTTTGTTCCCTCAGGAAAATCTTAGGCTCTTGGATAACACCGCTCCAAATTACTGACATTGCCCTGCGGAATGATCATGAATGAAATATACAATATACTTATTATGTTTAGTTACATTGGAGATTTAAGCAGGCACTTAGTCAAGGGGAAGGTGGTCTGATGGAAGATGAAGTTCCAACATCAACATCACACTCAAGTTTTTAAAACTTGGGTCAGTGTCCACTGAGTTACAAACTTGTTGGTACATTCTTCATCTTTTTAGTCACCAAATTATGGGGGTTTTCCGAAGTCTATGTTTGAATTGATGAAAAGAAACGCCATAAAACAGAATGATACTAGGTTTTATTGTTTGGATTGTTTAAAATGTGATAGAATGAACTGAAACCTTACTAGAATGCATTATTTTTTATTCAACCACAATATCTCTTTTTCTTTTTCCTTTCTGGGTATTAGATAGAGTCAACTTTTTTATTATTTATTTTATTTCATCATAAAAATACAGAAACAATTTAATAGTAATTTCATTTCATTCAAATTCATTCTAGTTACCATTAAATATTCAAACATAAAATAGCTATGAAAACTGAAATGATAAAGATGTTGTGCATATATTAGGTGATGTGGTAGAGAAAATAAGAGAGGAAAAATTAAATATAAAAATGTTGTGAGAATTAGTTATCAGTGTAGCATCACTTATTACAAGTATAGCCACTCTGAAAGGTCATACTAAGGTTCTTTACTCCTCTTACCAAATCTGTTGAAGTCGTGTACTTTTTGCATGTTATATGTCTCACTTGAAACGAAGAAAGCATAAGAAAGTAAGTAAAGGGTTATTATTAGCAACTTTAGACTTTTACTACGAAAACTTTATGCTTGAGTCTAGATTCAAGTCCTTTGAGAACGAAAAAGAAAAGTAGAAAAGAGAAAGGGTGATGGCTGATTGATTGGCCATGGTTAAGGAGAGATTGATTCACTCATTCCCATCCGGAAGACATTTTGCGTATACTTTGGTCCAATGTGACTATTATAAAATGGTATAAATGAAATTACTTTATACTATGTAAGGAAATAGTGTAATGCAAATAGTAGTTGGTTCGGTATATGGGGTAATTAGAGGTAATTTTCTCTAAACTTATTAAAAAAGATAAAACTTAAGTATATTATTTTAGGTTTGTTGTTTTATTAAAATTCACTTTAGTGATCACTGCCGATTTATTGTGCAACCTAGTAAGATAAGATTTTAATTTTTTTAAAGAAATGCACTAAAAGTACTTAAAATATTGTAGATAGATAATTGTCATATAAAAAAATGTGAACCTGCATTTCCTTGTCTAATATTTGTTTGCATTCTAAATAAAAATTATATAATTTTCACTTGCAATTTTGAAATTAATCTATCAATATAAAAAATTAATATCATTTCATGTAAACTAAAAAAATATTTTCAAGATTGATAACCAAATTAATATAATTGATCTATCAATAACTAAATAAAAATAATGTTTTTAAAATAGAAGGTGCAGATGAAACGGACTGATCAAATATTCATAGGTCAGGTAACATTGTCATGGCTATATATCAGTAATTTTGTTTACTTTGTATCTGCAGTAATATTTTATTTTGTATTTATTTTACTTTTGCATTTATTTGTTCTAAAATTCCTTAATCAAATATATTATTATTATTATTTTATTGTGATGAACTGTTTACTACGATCATTCTGCTTAAAAAAATTAAGTGTCAATCAGCAAAAAGAAAATGATAATATTCAAGTTTCATCATGCAATCTGCTCATGAAAGAGTGCCTCGAAATAAAAACTGACAAAATAAAGGTAAAAAAAATGGTTTGTCTCTGAATAAGTTCTGCTCATAACAAGTATTTTTAACGTATTGATTAAAAATTTAGATAAAAATCTTTAATCTTTTTTATCATGTTTTTTAATAAAAAAATATTTATTAACTAATATCTATAAAATACAATAGAAAGATAAATTTAAAAAATATATTTTAAAGACATTAATTAAAAATTATTAAAGATTACAGAAACAGGTATTTAATACTTTTTTTTTCATATCTCATCCCGTATCGTAACAATTGGCAAAATCTAGTGAGTTGATGAGAGGAAGCATTAAAAACTGTACTGAATATCTAATACTTTAAAGAGGTTTGGTTTGAACGGTACATACATTTGACTGGTTGGTTCTTCTTTTGACAAAAACCACCAATTCCCAGCAGAACCACACAACGAGAAAAACCAACCCCCTCAATCCTCCACAAAAATAGACCAAATGAAAGAATTTCAAAGAATATTACAAGAATTTGATGCATGAAAGTGCTAAAACTAATTTAATCACAAAATACAATGATGAGTGATCCAAATCACCAAGAAGATAATAATGATGATGGTTCAAGCAATAGAAGAAGATGCTGACTCAAATTTGTAGTACTTATCAACGGCAATAGACACATCCCAAGTGCAATTGAGTCCTTTTGGGATGGTCACAAGATCTCCAGCACCAAACTCTACAAAATCTGATGACCCTTTTGTATATGCCTTCACTTTCCCTTTCAACAAATAGCATGTCTCTTCTGCATCAAACTTTAACTGGTACTTCCCTGGAGAGCAACCCCATCTTTCATTTGTTTGTCACAATACAAACCCATCATAAGAAAGACAAACCAAGACCAGAAAGACAAAAATTTTATATGCATGTTATTAATCTAAATAAATAAACATAACTAAAGAAAAAGAAGCTAATAATAATTTTTAAAAAAAAGAAAAAACATACTTGGGCCAACACTTGATGTTCAATTCAGCTAGGCGTGACTCAGGAGGATTGCTTTCAATGATTATTCTAAGGTTTGAATTGGAATCTTGGGCCATGGAAGCAAGTATGGACGGCTTGGAGAAGGAGAATATTATAATTGTGTGTGTATATATATATATATAATGAATGAAATTGTTGACCACAGCAAAACAGTGTGAGAAAGAAAAAAACTATGGTTCTTGTGTTGTGTTTTGGCTATGTGATTTTGAAGGGAAAAAGATGAAGGAATATTGTGCAGTGTTAGAATAGGATAAGAGACATTGAATTATGAGGATGTTGGGTGCCCTTTATTTTAAAAAACTACCTATCACATCATGCGCCGGTATGCATCACAATTGTTTTTCAATGAAATCATTTAATGCACCTTTGTTTCGTTGAAATATACAATGGCCTAATGGGAACGAACCTAGGGACTAGGGAGGTTTCATTTGTTTAAAATATACAGAATTAATAGCTATCCAAAGTATTTGTTGGAACAAAATATTTTAAGTTTAAAAGTGTTTAAAATTAATTTTTAGTATTATACTCTTAAATCTTGAGATTTAAAAAAATTATAAACTAAAAAAAATCTTAAAAATGTAATTTTTTCAAACAAAACGTACAAATTCTACCTGTTTTTCATTTTAAAAAAGAGAAAATTTTAAAATAAGATAAACTAAACTCTACAAGAACGCAGTAGCAATTTTTGACAAATTTTATTATTTCAAAAATTGTCACCAACAATCTTTAATTTGCTTGAATTTTTTTTATTATTTTTTAAAAAAATATTGGTAACAATTTTAAATTTTAATAATTTATCGCTGTTCTATCAATACTTACATTTAAAATTGTTAATAACCATTTATATTATATATATATATATATATATATATATATATTTCAAATCCCATGTATAAAAAATTATTTCCAGCATTCACACAATCGTGAAATTGCGCTAAAAGATCCCAGCGTCCAACCGACGTTCATTTGCATTGATCAAACGGGAAGAAAAGTAAAAATAAGAAACTCAAACTTTGGCCAGAAAAGGATGATTTTCCTCTTTCTCTTTTTGGAGGCTTCACACTATTCAATTATTTCTTTTGGAAGGTTTGAGGGGAAAATAAAAATTATTTTACCTTTTATTTGTGTTATCTATTTTCATTAGACATGTGGCTATGGCTGACCCGAAAGAATTTTGCACACCGTAGACCTCAATCATAAGACCTCCAATTAAAACCGACCAGACACATCAATACAACGAAGCTTTACGCCACTTCTCTGAAGTAAGTAAAAGCATTTAATATTTTTTTTCCTTTAACCAATGCTTTTAAAATTTACTTTTCAGATAAAAAAAAGTCCTAACAAAAGCTCGCAATAGAATCCACCGTTTTATGAATCGTCAATAACGCTATTTTCCAAATAGTTAAGAGCTAATCACATAAAAAAATAAGGAGCAAAAGGATTAAAATGTACATGGCAAAACATAAAATTCGGGTATATTTGTGCTCCCTTCAGGCCATTCAAACTCTTGTTGCCATGACGCAATCAGCTTTTGTCAAATTATGCCAACAGAATGAGATGTAACTATCTAATCAATCCGATCCAGTGTGAGCAAAAAGTAGGGACGCATTTGTGCCTCCGAAACCAAAAGAGTTTGACATAGCTACTCTAATTGGCATTTCCTCTGAAGCAGACAATGGCAAGAAACCATCACTGAACACAGGATCTGGCTTAGTTAAATTAAGAGTTGATGGAGCAATTCCCTGTTTAAGAACACCACAGATTCTATTAGATTAAGCATACAGGGTATGGCTCTAGATTAAGCACAAAAGCAATAGTATGTGCAAAAATGCTTCCCCACAATTTCTATGATGCATGCGAGCAAAATATAGAAAAAATTGCTTACATGTCGTATTGCCAAAACTGCAAAAATTGCTTCAACAGCTCCAGCAGCACCTAGGAGATGACCGATAGCCCCCTGAAATAAAAAGAGAAATAAAAAAAAAAAAAAAAGTGAAAATCACATTGACTTGATCCAACATTGCTTTGGAAGATAAAAATGAATTATCAATTTATCATAGTTCACCCATCCAAATAAAACAAAACAAAATGGCATTATCGACAGATGAGAGCTAACATCTAAGAAGCAGCCAAAACTACATTATACTGTCAACCAGACAAGAATATAACTCATAGGTCAAACAGCTTGGAATCATTTTTACCTTTGTGGAGGAGAAGGCTAAAGTAGACGAGCTTGCATGGTCATGGAATATGGTTTTGATAGCATTAGCTTCTATTGCATCACCTGAATAAAGGATCCTGGTGAGATAGTTTACAATAAAATCACATTCAGAGATGAAGTATTCGAAAATAATAATATTCAAGCATAAATTGCCGGAATCAGTAAAGATCCACTTCACTTGCCCAAGGGTGTAGATGTAGCATGTGCATTTATGTAATCCACTTCAGAAGGATGAAGACCAGACTGCAACGATAAAACAATCACTTAAAATGAAGATAAGCTAGACTATAGCCAAGCCTGATGCACAGAGCAAAAAACAATACAATATGGCAAAAGAGTTTAACTCTTAATCATTAAGACTTAATTTATGCTAATAGGCATCTAGAACACTCAAATAATAAAAGCCAGAGGCACCTAAGTCTCTACTCTTCAACTGGATAATTTCATTTCACTTTCTTAATTCATACATACTAAGCTAACATCTAACCAATATTGACTCTAACAATAGTTTCACCGTCTTGTGTGGATACTTATCACTGTGACGTAGCAGAACCTTCCATTCCCTGAACTTGATTAATCCCACAGTGACAGAGTACGTCTCTATATTTATAATATATTTGTAAGATAATATCATGTAAAACTCACTGGAGAGAGAAGAAAATAGCCAAAAAGCTAAAGAATAGCAGGTCACACAATCATGACAAATATATATATATATATATGAAAGTTGGCAGCTCAGCCAACAGAAAACCACTAAGAAAATGCATGAAAAATACAAGTCATTATAGGATGATAAAGGACACCTGTCTTAAAGCACAAGTCATGGCTAAAATGGCACCTCTCCCATCACTAGGAGGTTGAGTGATATGATATGCATCACCTAATCAAAATCCACATAAAAGAAGTCAACCACATATTAACCTAAGGCTATGAGAAAATTCTACATATCCTACAACAAATTACCTGACATCCCATAGCCACGAACCTCTGCATAGACGTTGGCTCCTCGATTTTTCGCATGCTCAAATTCCTAAAATATGAGAGAAACAAATGAAAATAAGAAAGATGAAATATTATAACTAAAGTGCATCAACAGGAATTGGAGGGATAGATGATACACAAAAAATTTCTTAACCAACCTCCAAGACCAAGACTCCAGAACCTTCACCTATCCTGAGTAAAAACATAACTTCGATATAAGCAGCAAGACAAACAAACCATGCAAACCAATGATTTGAAGTCAGAAAACAAACAAATGATTATAATCAGAAATAAATCCACACTGTTGTTATACTTACACAAACCCATCTCGACCACTATCAAAGGGTCGTGATGCTTCCTGAGGGCTTGAATTATACTTTGTAGTCAAAGCTCGGGACCTGCAAGTCTCCAATATCAGATTTAAAATATTAGAATGAAAAAGGACAAATAATTTTTAACACACTGACAATAACAGAGGACACAACGCATTGGTCATAATTTACCTGCAAAACCCTGCAATTGATAATGCATCAATGCTGGACTCTGTGCCTCCTGCCACCATAACATCTGCATCCCCAAATTGAATCATTCTCACTGCATCACCAATAGAATGTGAGCCAGTAGCACATGCAGTGACAGCAGCATGGTTCGGTCCCTGTATTCAGGTACGGGAAAAAAGTTCTTCTCATGCTCAGGATTATTTAATGACGACAAAGGTCATAGCATAGAACAATATGCTAATATCTCTGCAACAACAATAGCTTTACTACCTTATTTTTCTAATAATTTTGTTGACATATGTTATAAACTTATAATTGAACCACTAGGAAATATATCATGTTTATTTGAGTACTCAATCTCTTAAACTTGAGTGACATATAATTTACTCATATCTGAATTAACACATGAGAAAGTTCTTTGTTTCAGAAGGCTGTTATGTCTCATTGGGTTATAATGTCAGACATTATTATAAGATGAAGAAACACAGAAGCATGAAGATATTGACCACATCTGTTCCATTGGAGCTCAATTCCAACAATTCATCCTTCAATAAACAAATAATCTTCATCTTGAAATTCATTTTCATACACACACACACACACACACACACAGAAGTCAGTAAATGAAAATTCAGTTGGCTGTCAGCAGCTGGAAGAGGCTAGGAGCTCATTCATATTTTTGTAGTATATAGTATCAGTCAGATGAAAGTTGTCTCTTCACCTGGAACCCATATTTCATGCTCACATGTCCTGATGCCATGTTGATCAATATTCGTGGAATAAAAAATGGACTAAGCCGACGAAGACGCTGCATTCAGGGGAGAAAAAGTAAATATCAAATACAATATAGTTCATTTAAATAAGCAAATAATTTTGCTGTCAAAACTAGAAGCACTTGGAGAAAAACTTGAACAAGGAAAGATGATCAAAGTTCTTCAATACTAGTGAGTTTCAACAAACTGACCTTCTCACATATTAGTTGTGCAGAATCTAAAATGTCACTAACACTTCCAGTTCCCCCACCTATAGACACCCCCTGATAGATTTTGGAGGTTTAAATACAAGTGACAAGGAATTGTCAAAATGATTTGTTATTACCCATATTAGAAAAATACATACCGTTCTTTCCTTATCTTCCTGCTCAGTGGGAAACCAATTAGAATCTTTAAGAGCTTCATCAGCAGCACATAGTGCATAAGCAATAAACCTTGCAATTGATCGATGGTCCTAAAGGAAATGTCATAATACTACAATGACATCAATAAGAATAACAGAAGTTCAAAAAATCCAGAATCTATAAGTAAAAGCAAAGCAGTGGCAGATAACACAGAAACCAGAAGAAACTAGACAACAATTAGCCAAATTTATATTTTTCCTTTTGGCAGAGCAGGTTAGTGAGTCACTTTGATGTTAGCTAGTTTACTCCTCCCAATTTAATGAGACTGTTACCAACAACCAAGAGGTCCACCAGAAAACATGAATTTTCTTCTGGGTAGAAACTTAAGAAAATAATAATAAAATTTTCAAATTCTAGGAAGAATATAATCATGTGCTTTATATTCTAGCACATCTGGTTAAGACATTGTAGATATCAAGTACGATTATTGGCAAGATACTGCGTGGGACTTGTGAGAAAATACAATCTGACACTGATCTGTAAATATAATTAAACACATAAGATACACTGCATATGTGCATAAATCTACATGTACACAGTAAAGCCTCGAATACGCAAATTTATATTAAAATTCCAGCACAGACAGATGCTTCCTGTCTGCAGGAATAGTACAACACTTCATATTTGCCTTCGAAATCATACAACAGTTACACATCCTACCCTTCACGAGCTCTTGACAACTTATAACTCTATTTTACTTGCTTGTTTAACATTTATTCCATCATCACAAAAACATCTAAATTGTAAACAGAAAAATTTCATATCTAACTAACTACATAGACCTTTAACTTCAATTAAGAAATCAAACATAAAGCGTGCTACATCAAGTGATGAGAAACATTATAAGAAGATGCGAATGCTATCTGCCAGTGTAGCAATTAAGAAAATTCACCTTAGAATTAAGCCATATTTCATCGTTGAATTCGCCAGTGTTGGTTCCAGTAGGAACAATTGCAGCAACTTTGGATGTCAATTGATCAAACGTACTCAATTGAGTTTCCTTATCAAAGCCATTCATCTTGAGGTCTTCGAAGCACAATGCTCTTACTCCACACTCGCCGTCTATGAGTCGCTTCCACGTTCTATCCACTCCACAACCAAGAGGCGTCACCATACCTAAACCTAAAGGAGCAGGAAATTTCAGCACTACAAAGTAACATTTATCAATGCAACAAAAGTAATTTAACGAGGAAGTGAATGAGAGTTACCAGTTACAACTACTCTTCGGGAAGAAACAACAGGAGGAGGGGGGAAAGCTCCACCCCCTGTTGACGAGGAAATGCTTCGATAAAAGGATATAAAGACTTTTCTACGTGAAGCCGCGCTTGTTGCCATGTCCAACCTTAATTCTCACTCGATGCGGCGGAAACAGTCGTCAAATACGGTGGTGCCGTCGATAGGGCAAGCGTCGAGAGGAATCTAATCAAAACGGTGCGCATCAAGGGTTCTGGTTGGGATAATCGGTCCAGATAGCCTTGAATTATTAAAAAAAATGTTAATTTCGATATTTACAGAATTACAGCTAAGTTAAAACAACTAATAATTATAAAATTTTATTAAAAATATTTATTAAATTTTATAATTTAAATGTAAAAATATTTTTTAATATAAATTATTATTTTAAATACTTAAACAGAGTTTTAAATATTAAAATAAAAAAAATGAATTAAAAATGATATATTGGTAATTTTAGTTATATTTAATTATAAAGTTTCTGTAATGTATTTAAAAGTATATTTTAAAAAATAAAAAATAGCAAATTTTTATTAAAAAACGGAATATTTAATATTATTTATGTATTAAACTTTATGATATTTTTTTAATAAAAAATTAGCATACATAAGTTTTTATTATATTAAAAACTAGTAATTATAAATATTAAAATATAAATTTGGTCAGTGTATCACTCATATGATTTTAATTTAATTTATAAAAAATATAAGAGTAGAATTATGATTTTAATAATTTTTTTAGTTTGATTTAATAAGAGTTTTATATAATTTTTTAATTTAATTTATAAAAAATATCTAATATTATTTTGAATATTTTAGATAACATAATTTGATAATATTTTTTATTTTTGATTCATTCGATAAATATTTGATGTTTTAAATTTTAAAGTGATTAAAAAGTTATAACAATAAACAAATTTTAATATTTAAGATACCTACATTTATTGATATTGTAACTGGAGATGAGGTCTTAAATCAAATAATCTCCCTCCCAGATTTTACTCTGCTGCTTTCCTACACTCAATATAAACATTGAAATTAATTCATTATTAAAAAAATATAAACATTGAAATTATTTAAGCCCTAATTTCCTAAAAATAATTAAAATCATTTAATGTCCCTTAATTTATGGAAAAAAGAAAAAGGAATAAAATAAAAATGAGGGATTTGTTTCCCGAATTCATGCAGAGTGGGCCCACTGTCACCGTCTAATTCCGATACCTCGTATTGAAAGACGACGATATCAAAATTGCTTTTGGTGTTGTGTCTCTCTGCTATCTCATTCCATCTCCATGGCTACTCAAGGACAAGTAATCACTTGCAAAGGTTTCTCTCTTCTTTCATTTTCACTTTTCATCTTCCATTTTGTTTCCATCGCCACATTCACATTCACATTCACATTCAATCACTGAAACCGCTTTCTTCGTGAAGCTGCCGTGGCATGGGAACCCAACAAGCCTTTGACCATCGAGGACGTTCAGGTGGCTCCGCCGCAAGCCGGCGAGGTTCGTGTCAAAATCCTCTACACTGCTCTCTGTCACACCGACGCTTACACCTGGAGCGGCAAGGTACACATACATGCACACTTACACGCATACCCATCTCTTTATTCCAGCTTAACTTTCTTTTCTTTTGCTTTCGTTGGTGTTTTCTGTTTCTGGGTATAATCTATACTCCGCAATTTACCGAAAAAATTATCTTTTTTTGGGTATTCACGTAGGTGTTTTTGCACTGCAAGGAATCTATATGTTTGATTGATGCATGGAGGTATTTTATCACGTGAATTTATCTAAAATTGGTTTTGCAGGATCCAGAAGGTCTTTTCCCTTGCATACTTGGTCATGAGGCTGCAGGGTATATATATATAATATTTGGAGAGAGAGAGAGGAAAAAAAAACAATAAAAAATGTTTTGATATACGTTTGTTGAAAGGGGTTTGTGTTTTGATACAGGATTGTGGAGAGTGTTGGAGAAGGTGTTACTGAAGTTCAGGCTGGGGATCATGTCATTCCTTGTTATCAGGCTGAATGTGGAGAGTGCAAGTTTTGCAAATCAGGCAAAACCAATCTTTGTGGCAAAATTCGTGCTGCCACTGGGGTTGGAATCATGTTGAGTGATAGCAGGAGTCGTTTCTCTATTGATGGAAAACCCATATATCATTTCATGGGAACCTCAACATTTAGTCAATACACTGTTGTTCATGATGTCAGTGTAGCTAAGGTTGATCCCAAAGCTCCTTTGGAGAAAATTTGTCTTCTTGGATGCGGGGTTCCAACTGGTGAGTTATGTAAATTGTATTGAGAAATTGCACGTTATATAGAGAGTAGATTATCCTTTCTTTGCATCATTTGTCACTGTTCATGGAATGTATGAAATTAGTGAAATGCACTTGGCAAATGATGTTCCATTTGCCTGTGTAGAAGTTAGCGTGATGAGTGTGGTCATGAGAAACTTCTTGCCATACAAATACAGATGATTAGACTTTTTGTTCCTTATCAGGGTGAAAGATTTGATTCAAGTTGCAGGCTGGAATAACCCCTAATGTAATTTTTGACAAAATTGTGCTACGAAACAGTTACTCCTTCTCCACTTCATTCTAATGCTGAAATTTGGATGAATTTAAATGGTTTATGTGATGGAGGGTATGCTTTGTATTGTTGAATGAAAATGTTGGGGGCAGATATTATTGGGTGAGTATAAAAGTTTGAGTTGATACATGTTACTATAAGTGAAAACTAATCTGAACCATGTATCCATTTTGTTTGAGTTTCTAAATCACCCTATTTTTTAACTTGTTTATGAATGAAAATTTGAAGATGATATGCGGTTTCCATTTTTTATTTCTTACTTTTATTTCTCTCTCTCTCCATCTAAGCAATCTGCTGGACAAGACTGGTGGATTTTTATTGCAGTTTGCGTGATATATGACGGTTATTTTTGTTAATATTTTCTGCCTAATTCAACATTATTTTAACTAATGTTTTAGGCCTTGGAGCTGTCTGGAACACTGCAAAGGTGCAAGCAGGGTCAATTATTGCTGTTTTTGGCCTTGGAACTGTGGGGCTTGCTGTGAGTTTTTGAAAAGGCATTAGTAGATTTTTTTCATTTCTGCTTGGTCTTGGGGCTTCTATTATGACTAGAATCTAAACTTGACAGGTTGCAGAGGGTGCAAAAGCTGCTGGTGCCTCACGGATTATTGGCATAGATATTGATAGCAATAAGTTTGAAAGAGGTACATCATGCGATAGATTTATTGACATAATTTTGATAGTATCCCTTCAATGCTGTGGATTGGTCTGGTGTCAATTATCTCTATTACGTTTTGAACAGTACTTTTCCAAATTCTGAGTATTGAAAATCAGCTACTGTCTGACCATACAGTAATCAATTTTTTTATTTTCCATCTGCTAAAGGAAGAAAACGATTCCATTTTTAACTGCTACAGCCCCTAGGAATATCCAGTCTACTTATGTGCTATTTTATATATGCTGTTTGCTCTCAGCTTTGGTTTTCGCAGGTTTCTATTTAGGAATGGACGTACAATGCTAAAGCCTTCGTGTTATTAGTACCTTTCTTTTATTTACTTGTCTAACTTTACTTTGCAGCAAAAAACTTCGGAGTGACTGAGTTTATCAACCCAAAAGAACATGACAAACCAATTCAGCAGGTCATAGTTGATCTCACAGATGGTGGAGTTGATTATAGTTTTGAGTGCATTGGAAATATCTCAGTGATGAGGGCTGCTCTAGAATGCTGCCATAAGGTGAGTGCTGCTGCTACCTCATTGTTGGCTCAATATCTCATATATTATACCATGATCATTGCAAACATGAAATAATATACTTGTTGAAAATTTTCAGGGCTGGGGGACATCAGTGATTGTCGGTGTTGCGGCATCAGGGCAGGAGATATCAACTCGACCGTTTCAATTGGTGACAGGGCGTGTCTGGAAAGGAACAGCTTTTGGTGGCTTCAAGAGCAGGTCACAAGTGCCTTGGCTTGTAGACCAGTACATGAAGAAGGTAAAGGATTTGTACTAGAGTTTTATATCTTAAACCTCAATGTTGTTGGAAAGTGGTTATGTTTTCGTTAATTAAGAATACTATGTTGTCTGCTTGACTCATTTTACAGGAAATCAAGGTTGATGAGTACATTACCCACAATTTGACTCTTGCGGAGATCAATAAGGCATTTGACCTCATGCATGAAGGAGAATGTCTCCGTTGTGTTCTTGCAATGCATGCGTGAGGTGATCTAGTCAAGCCTTTGAAAGTGTCACTTGGGATGGAGGTGTTATATTGCCTTTTGTTTTCCCCTCTTATGGTGGTTGATGATGTAAAATCAATCATGAGTGTCTATAATTCATAAGGTAGTGCCTTTATAATAATATGAATGTTATCTTCCCAAGTATCCCCTTGCAAAACTTGTGATCAGAGAACCGTTGCAATGGATATAGGAACATCATTTTGAGTTTTGACCATGTTATTCTTCTACTTGTCAAAGATGGTTAATCACGAGTTTGGGTAATATAGTAATGGATCTTGTTAACTATTGTCCCGTTAAGGAATAGAAAATGATTTTTTAATTTATTTATTTTTTTTTTTGTTAAAAACTACGTTATACTGCATTAGAAATCACGAACATTGCGATTATAACAATTTTGAGAAAATATTATACTTTCAATCCCTTAACCATTTACCTATAGTAATATAGGGGTATCAAGAAGTTGTTTAGTCTCAATGAAATTTGTCAATCGGGCCATAATTTTAAATATTATTTACTTTTAGTTCCTTAATCATTTCCCTATATTAATATACAAATGAAATTTATCAGTTGGGTAATACTTCCAAGTAAAATTTTACTTCCATGATGTTCCACGCATACTTGCAAGGCTAAAGTAACTTAGTATTATTAAAAAAATTTGAAAAATGAATAATGACATTTTATATATTAAAAAAAATACTTGAGGCTTGAAATATATGATGGGAATAGGATACAATTTTTTTATGAATGTGTATCCTCCGCCCTCTTTTCGAAGAAGAGTGGTTCCGGAGCCAGAGCAAACAGAGGCTCCTGCGCCTCATTTTTTCCCTCTGTTTTAGAATGTTTGGGCTGAGGCATGAGGTCTACAAAGCATTTAATCTAAATGTGCAGCTTTGGAATGCACATTGTCATTTTGCAATTGTTGTCCCGTATCAAATGCTTTGACCTATATTGAAAAAAAGTCCTTCTATTCTTTTAATTTAGCCCCTATTTTTTCTTTAGAATTTATTTACTGTACTAAGAATCATTATGATGACTGGAACAGGGACCATTTTGCAAGTGATCATAATAATAAGGATTGATTTACAAGGCAAAATGATTTGAAAAATATAATACGCCAATTATCTTTGAATTGTCAAAGTGAAAAAGAAAATAGCATTGTATATAATTAAAGTATTATGCACCAAGAACATGATAGAAGTCCATAACAAAGGGTATAAAATTATACATGTACCAAAAAACAAGCTATATATTAAATTATACATCTTTACTGACTAAGTTACAAGAGAAAAGAATTTACTCATTCAAAGTAGGTTCCTAATATTCTAGCACTATCATTGGGGCACTAGGACAGCCTGAAATATTCACTTACCAAACAATTGTAATTAGTAACTCTGATTTAAAAGAAGTTCAAAAGGTTGGAAGAATTGGATGCAATCAGCTCATGACAACATGACCAATCTTCAAGACTTCAAGACTCAGATATTAACTCTTGAATCTAGCTATTGCAAAACATCCTTTAAACCCTGCTTGCTTCCTTCATATACTTGGAGGAGCCCACTTTCCAGCTTTGAATTTGGCATAAAAGCTAGAACGGTTCGAAACAACATAGAAGACTGCAAATACATCATGGTCAGAGGAATTTCTAAACAAAAAACAATGAAAAAGAAACTATTTTCCATGAACCAAATTTTACCTGGGATCCCAGGAATGATGAAATTAGGCATTTTGAGAACATCATGGAGTGTTCTCCTTTCATTCACTTTGATCCATTTAGGGGAACCTGATGGACATAGATGATCACATCATGTAAGTTTTCATGATAAGGCACAGAGCCCAAGATAAATCCCTCCCTAAAAAGAAGGGGAAAAACCCAATATAACATGTGAATATATGATCACACACTCGTGAGATTTCAATATTACTTGATGGCACAAGTGAGGTTAATGCTGAATTAAAAGCAGCATCTCCTGAACTTGTCAAAAAACTGCCAAACAAATGCAAGCTCAATCGAAGGGTGTACTATGGTTCTACCAGCTTATGGCCCATCCATGCTATAACACGACCCACAAATGATCAAAGGTTTATTTATAGACATAGAGAGAAGAAACCTTCAGATTAGAAGTCTCCATTCCTTAGGCAAGTACGCACACAAGGCAGGCACACTGGTGTAAGACTTGGCATACTTGACAGTAACCATCTATTAACTCTTATAAATGCAATTTTTATCAATCCAAGGGTTAAATTATAAGCTTGTGACCATCTATCATGTTGATCTTGCATGTCAGGTTTTGAAAAAACTGAACAACAAAATATATGCATCAAATAGTTCATATTTTTCTTATAGTTGGTGAGTATATAATCTATTAAACAAACAATGCGTGCCAATGGAGTAAAATAAAATAATTTTGAATATAAACACAAATCCGTGAAAACAGTTAAGCCAGCACTGGAAAAAATTGTTCTCAACAGCATTAGATTGATTGGTTTACACCAGGACCCCCTCTCCACACACACACACACACAGCAGAATTATGTCCAAAATTTTTCTTTAAAGTTAATTATTAAAACCTGAATCCAAGCAATATCATGCCCATGTTGTATTTGTTGGTAAAATGATAATGACAAGGGATTGATTTTCTATAAAATTTACCTGGGCTTAAACTATTCAAAATCTAACAGTTATGAACTACTTTTTAATTATGCAAACACCTCCTGAGGATTAACTAAAAAAATTAGAAAACATAGAAAAGCTTTTATCATAAGTCGTAAAACAACACTTCACCATCAATTAGAGTAACGCACGCTTTTCTCATTATGCTTACCACCCAAATAAACTAGACGCAGCAGTTGCAACTTGCAAGGAGTTAAGGAACTTCAATTGGAAGGGATTTCCATGGACTTGCACTGGAAATCCTATGAGAATATGACAATATATATATGTGACAATAAGAGTTTTCTTAAATGCTAAGCTTACACAAACTCCTGAAAGATTCGGACTCAGGCATTCCAAAAAAAACAAAAAAAAGAAGAAAGCTATATATATGCTAGAACCTTATAAAGACTTCCTAAAAAGAAGTGACCTTATCTAAATCTAAGGTAAAAACTGACAGGCCCAAAAAAACTTCAGAAGAAACTGTAACATACCTGTGTGTTGCTTAAACTCCTCAACTGCATCTTTCTCTTCATCACCAACACTTTCCCCATGAGAAGCTGCAGTTCCCTCCAATAGACAATGAAGAAGTTTTTCCTTAGATAGACAAAGTCCAGAACCAGCCTGATAAAACAAAGACTAAGGATGAGACAAAAATGCTTGCAAAGTATAAATTGTCAAACATTGGATATAAAATAGGGACATAAGAACTATGCCGCCAAAAATTGATATTGTAAATATCACCTTAGGTTCAAATTAGTAAAACATATTCAGAACAGATTCAACAGAAAAATAAGTGGAAATAAGTGGTTCGGCTTATGACAATGACAATTATCTACTTATGCAGTATCTAAAGTCAGTTCTACTTCCATTTTCCTTTTTATCATTCAATTTTGATCAACAATCAAATCAGTTGATAAATTTTGAGATCAATATGCCAATACTGAAGCAATATTTGATCTGACATAGATAAAGTACACAAACTTTGAGCGTTGTTGTAAATAATGACAATGTCTTTGTCTGCCAAAAATCCCAAATGACTGGCCTAAGAGAAATCTTGGCATGTCCAACAGTACCACATTCCCAAGTAAGAAAAACAATAGAAGTACTGTTTACAATTGAAGGATACTACTGATAAAGTTATATTATTCCCACAACAATTTTCTACAACAAAAAATTTCTCTCTATTTCTCCCCATCGCCTCACTTCTCTTATCATATCCTTCCCTCTCTTCCTATCTCTCTAATTTGTTGAAAATATGTACAATTTTGTTGTACAAATATCATTTCTCCTACTGATATGGGCTTGTTCCATGTGAAATTCAACATTACAATTTACATTCTTTCAACAACCAAATGTGATCAGATTACATTTTAAGAAACCAAACAGAGTCAAACTACAAAAAAATAAAAAAGTCAATGCAAGCTTACCTCATAGTACAATTCAATAAATTCTCGTCTGTAGTTGTTTTCAACATCCCATGACAGCGGCTGGTCTTCTGCAAATATGTTTGATAGCTAAGGATGTGTGTACCGTGTTCATATTCATTAAAGCTCATTTATATATACTTATACATATACTGCATAATATATAATCCATTTCACCAAAAAGGATATCATATCAAGGTGAACCGAAAACATGTCAGTCTCACAGAAATCCTCAATGAAGTCACTGGACATAACCTCCGCGTACAAAAGAAGAACAGGCCAATGAAGGATATTATTTTTGTCTAACATAGGTTTCTTTGATCCAGTAAGCTCTCGATACATTGCCTTTCCAATTTTCAAGCCTCTATATTCTATTGCAGACACAAGTTCCTGCATGATTTTTATTTACCAAGGACATGAGCCTCCTCCATATAATAAAACATATATCAAACAAAAAAGAAAAGAGTTCAAACCTTAGTCTCTGCAAGAGTCTTGGAGACTTCAGCCTTATGCTTTTCATTCTCTGATATCTTCAGATCAATCTGGTGATCAAGCTTCTTCAACTCCTCGTTATTGGGGTTCAACTTAAGACCCCTTTTACAATAGTCTCGTGCTTCAGCCAACAAATTTAGTGAAAGGGAAGCTTTGGCAGCTCTATAAATTGCCTAATCACAGTTGGCATTATTTTGAGACATCAATTAAAATACACTCACTCATTTATAAATTAGTCCTTTACCTTAAAAAAAAACTTAGGTTTTAATTCATATTCGAGTGTTTAAATATGTTTTGGTTCCTGGCGACGTAACATCATCAATAAATATTTTTCTTTTTCTAACATTATTATAACGGCAGGGATACTCATGTACGGATTAAAATATAAGGGTTTTGTGTGTGTGTGTGTGTGTGTTTAAAGACTAATTTGCAAAGGAGTATCAAACATACTTACAAAATGTGTATTTTAACCAAAAGAAAAAAACAACAAGACATAGCATAAAGTTAGGACCTTTATATTTGAGGGGCACAAGTTGAGGGCCTCCTGAGCATCAGTGAGAGCACGTCTAAGATTTCCAAGCAGCAAATTGACATGGGCTCTATTGGCAAAGATAATAGAGGTGTCAGAGTCACTCAAGGCTTTTTGATTGATTGCCCTTGTGTAGCAATCAATGGCATCTGAGTAATGCTTCTTACCCATCTTCAAATATTGGTTACCCTTTTCCTGAATTTGAAGGGTGAAGTCAAATCAAATATTTAAAAAAAAAAATCCTTTTTCTAATAAACGAAAATCATAGTGAGTGATAAACCTTAAGTTCAAGGGCAGAAGCCTCTTTGAGTGCAGCAATGGCTTCAAGGTCTGCTTTCTCGCTTTCAGTTAAAGGCTCTGAACCCTTTTCCATCCATAGCGCCATCTTCACTTTGTTACGCTAATTGCTCTTTGCAGTCACTCACACGCAGTTGACTCTTTCCCTGGTTTCTTCAGATTTTGGACACCCTGGGAACTATGCGTTACTAATACCATGTACCATGTACTATGTAGTCAAAACCGTTACTCTGCTCTTATGTTCTGAATAATGAAATAGTCACGCGAGAGTAAGATTTTTTGAAAAAATTAAATCTTCATGATTTAAACTTATCTCCGTATGCAGAATTCGAAATCAAATGTGTTAATAATAATTTAACATCAAAGATATCACCTAATTAGGGATAGCAATAGGTAAAGTACCTATTGACATTCGTAAAATTTATCCACAATGGATAGAGTATTTACTCGTTATATAGGTACGAGTATGGGTGTAGGTAAAAACCTACAAATTTTAATAGGGATAGGTGTAGGTATGGGTATTTAAGTACCCACCTCACCTCATATCCGCATATATATATGTGTTTGAACTTTATTCTACAATTATACATTAAATTTTTGTATTATTATATTATTTATGTAAAGTTATATAAGATTAATATAAAAATATATTTAATAATAAAGTAAACTAAAAAATTTATTTTGGTTTATATTTTTAATAGAAAATTTTATTTACTATTTTATATCATTTAATTAAGCTAATACAATTTAATTATTACATAGTTAATATGAAATTAATTTTTTTAAAATATTATTTATATATGACACACATGAAATATTTTTACACAAATATTTTTGTTAATAAAATCATATTAATGTTTAAATCATAAAGTGAATGATAAATAATAAATATATTGTAAATATTTATAAATTTTACAATCACCTACTATTACCGTAAACTTATATTTAAATTTTATTTTTTATATTTTAATTTAAAATAATATTTTTCTATGCAACATATGTATTACAAGTACAACTATAATCTATTGAATTTAAATAATATTATTCTTACTATTTATTCACGTTCAAAGAAGTTTTTGAAAATATAAATATAAAAAATTATTGTTAATTTTTTTAGATAAAAAAGTATAATTTTTTCTAATATACACATATATTTCTTTATTATAAAATTTTATTGTGACCATTTATCTTTTATTCAAATTTTTTCATTTAAAATTTATATACATTATAAATATTTAATTCGTTAAAATGATTTTTCAAAAATTTGTATTTTTTATAAAATACTTTCGTATAGTATATGAGTTAAAAAATACTAGTATTAATATATATATATATATATATATATATATAATTTTAATTAAATCTATTATTTTTCTAACAATTTCAAATTCAAAAGTTAAAAAAAATATTTTATGTATCCATTGTTGTTAGTATTAAACTTCTCTACTCTAACTCTATTCTCATTCTCAATGTCTATCTCATTAAAACCTAACAATTATGAAACGTTATTCATTAGTTAGTTGTCAATGCTGTCACATAAGGCCACCAAGTGATCTCACACAAAGGGACAATCATTGTGCAGATCTATTTCGTTGTCGCTCTGACATTGCTAATCGATCAAATCTCACACAAGATAGGGTTATCACAAGTGCACTGAAGGTTAACTATGTCAATCTAGAACTCAATGTGATTGGCTTCATCCGGGCTCAGTCTCTTCCGGCCGCCTCATCCTACTTACTCCACTCGCTATGTTTTGCTGCCAAACGGACTCTCTCGGAGGTTTTCCCGTGGATGTAATGCTTAGCAACCCGTGCGCCCCTACCCGAGAGGCAAGCTTGGCGGCGCGAGTGATGCGGGAACAAGCCGAATCCAAAGTACCTCGACACAAAAAAAAAAAAAAAGGGATAAGAAGTGCCTATCCGCTCATCAAGTAAAGAAAGGCATCGATACATCGAGGACCAGGGCGGTGAAGTGGGGAAGGTGGACAGTAAGCTAGTAATTGCGTTAAGAAAAAGCGGTAGAAGGGCGTGAAGGTGTACTTTCTTTCGCGGTTGTTGGGTATTGTATTAGTGGCAAGCCGACTGACTGATAGGGTCACGAAGAGCCCAACGAATGGAGGACCAGAACTGCTTTGCTTAACACACATATAGTTCAGTTCCCTCAATTCATCACCAACATGCTTGATTCCATTCTCGAGGGACTGAACCCGCTCCTCGAGAATGAAGCTTGCTAGCGATACCGGTATCCATCTATAGCCATTAGTTCATCGGTGTCGGGGGAGTTTGGTATACTCCCAGCCTATTGTTCACTGACAAATAACTTGTGTGTTTAATTTCGCTTATTGTTTTTAAAAATTTTAGTTTAGAAAATTATTAAGATACATTTAGCATTTATGATATTTGAATATTTGTTTTTTATCTATGTTTGTACCTTGTTCGGCAACTACATATTAAATTTTTGTATTATTATGCTACTTATGTGAAGTTATATAAACATATTTTTCTTTATAAATATTTTTTCTTAAACAAACGCGGGTAATGGATACAAGATGGGTATACGGGTACTCAGAAGGTACAGGTACGGGGATTAATATTCATACCTAATTAATATTCATACCTACGCGGGTATAGGGCCAGGTACCAGTATTTTATTAAAACGCGGGTATGAGGATGGGTACTATAGTACCCTACCCATTGTCATCCCTACACCTAATAATGATCTAATTTAAATTTTAAATAAAATACTTATAAAAGATAATTATAAAAAATATAAAAAAATATTAAGTTATATAAAAATATCATGTCATTAATATTTAATATATATATATATATATATATATATATATAATATGTTAGTTATTAAGAATATAATAAAAAAATTAAAATTATAATGACAATCAATATTTTTTAAATAATAAGAACCTAATTAAAAAACTAAAGAAGTTATAACAACTAACAGATTAATTTAATTTAATTTAATTAGTATGATCTATAGCTAATTAAAATGATATATTTTGAGAAAAATTATATATATATTTTTTAATATGATTATATTATTTTATTTATTAACATAAAAAATTTAAATTTGTAGTCAAAATATTATTTAAATATTTAAATATGAGGTTAATTCTTTTCTTCTTCTGATCATATGTTAACCTAATTTTTATTTACTAAGAAAGAATTTTGAGATTAGATAGATATATTTTTATTGATTTTAATGATTTAACCATCAAAATTTTATAAATAGCACGTGTTAAAGTAAAATTTTAAACTCAGTGTAAAATTTTGAAGCATTGCATCTAATAGCTTCACCTTTGCACAACACCAACCTAAGAATATGCACTCTCTTGCATCTAATACTTTTGTGCCTAACAACATGAACATATCAGTAATTGAGTAAATAAAGAAAAAAATATTTTTTTTACTTTATTTGTGAAATATCCTAACATTTATTTCACAAATCTTCCCAATTTTAAATAACAAACAGAAGTTGTGCTTATCTTTTTTTCATTTGGTTTGGGAGTGCAAAGACAGAATAAAGACTCTTCCAATTAAGTATACATTTATCGTAATCCATATTCCAAATATGTATATCAGTTATGATTTTTTTTTAAACTAAAATCGATTATAATCGACTTCTTTGTATCAAAGAAGTCGATGTTATAATAGACTTTTTCATTGTGCTATCAAAAAATTATTTAAATCAGTTTTTTTTATATCCAAAGTCGATTATAATCGACTTTTGTATAATTGAAGTTAATTATAATCGACTTCTTTATTACATTGCTAAAAACGATTTAAATCAACTTATGTACTGATATTAAAGTTGATAGAAGTTAATTTTAATCGACTTTCATAAAATTTAAATTAGAACATTTATGTAAAAAATTTTATTTTAATGTATATATGTAATATTGACTTTTTTTATTTTATTTATGTAAAAAATCCATAAAATCTTATACCAATATAAATTTGTGTGTTATGTATAAACTAAAACAACTTCTTCTTTTTTTTGTAAATATCATGATGAATGTCAATCTTTCTATGGATTTAATTTATTTTTTAAATAACTCTTTCCATATATTAGTTATAATATGTAATAAATAAATTAAAAATCTCCTTTTCAAAATAGCTACTTGCACAAGATTGTGAATCAGAAAAATCTCCATAGATTATTATGTTAGTGATTAAATGCCACTCGTGCTATTGAAATTACATATTGCTTATTTCCTCAAGTAGTACTAATTTTTAATTTAATCATCTATGACTATTAGGAAATAAAAGACTATATCAATCAATACACTGCATTAACACACGTCACATCTTTCTATAAATCAGGTCGGTAAGAATTTTCCATTTAAATGCCACACTACTCATACCCTTAAAAATGTCATTAGTCACAAAGTTTAGATAAATATAAACAATTACGATCTGCATAATTGAAAATGAAAGACTCAATGCGAGATAGAAAACAAGACTAGCTCAACTATTTTGTTGGTTTTACTAGCTTTGATCATATATTCAATTTATACCCTCAAGGGTTGATGCTAGGCAAATAAGCCACGACTTGACTTTGCTACATCCAATGAAATAAAGCAAAACTAAATTAGCCTATGCTAGCAACCATACATCAACTATAAGCATCAAGGAACACCTAACATGTTCAGCTCCTAACACTAGTTGATGAGCCTCAAAATGAAACTGCCATGTATTACTCAAAGTTGAGCAAGTCATAAATAGACACAAAACGAAGTAACCATTGTAACATCATTCAGCTGTCAACCAACTCTGAGCAATTGCATTGAAGATTGCAGTAAGTAGCATATATATTGGCTGCTCACCTTGAACTCATTCATACCCCTTGATCTAGATAAAATAACATCATGCCCATGTCAACCGGGTCGAGATCTGGAGATGGTATGCTCAGATCAGATGGCAAAACACCATCTGTTACCATTGGACCACAGTCTTTATCCAAAAGCCAGTTTTCAAAATCAAGAAGTGGAGTGGATAATTGAGAACATTCAGTCACATGTTCATTGCTTCCAGAAAACTGAGTACGAGACTCCTTGGCATTGGGTGCTTGTTGGTCTATAGATCCTGAGTTCTGTAGAGAACATTCAATTTGCGGTCCAATGCTTTCGTCCGTATAGTGTTTCCAAATTGAGTCAAAAGCTGGAAATCTTCTGGCAGCTTCACTTGGACTCTCTTCATGTGGTTTTGGTTGGCAAGTGTCTTGACTTGCAATGCCACATTGGGTAATATTTCTATTAGCATTTTCGTTTAGAATTCTGATTTGAGGCTCATTTCCCGGCTGATTGCTCTTCGGGTTCAGGCATGTTGCATAACTGGAAGGAGCATCATCATTACCCTGAATACTAGTTTGATGGAAATTCTGACTATCATTTGATTGGGGCAGTGGCTGGCTATATGCTTGCATTTCAGAAGCCACAGTATGCTTGTCAACACAACTCAGGTTGGCAGGTTCAGAGCTTGGTGGTGAGTAAAGTGATAAATTTATTGGATGACAAACATCATTTGGCCCATTGTGATTTCTGTAATTTGAGAATCCTGTCGCAGTATGATATTTGTTACGTTGCTGTGTTGCATTAATACGATTGCTGAAGCCAGATGAAGCATGAGAAGAATTATTCATGGTCAGGGTGTCCCCAGCACTGCCTAATCCCTTGGACGTTGTATGAGGACGAAGGAGCTGAGGTCGTAAACTGCTAGCACAATTTCCTCGCTCCCTTTGGATGACATGACTACGTACACCAAGCACAGGCCTAGGTAAAGAGTGAGGCTGGTATCTGTTTCTCACCAAAGTAGATCCAGATTCGCGACACCTACCACGGTTAGCATCATTTGGTATTGCTAGGTTGGTGGCTGTGGACATTACAGGGATGTTAACTGGCCTAGAGGCCTGATTCTGCACACTTGAATTCAGTGAAGGGGTGAGGGTACGCATTGTTGTTGGCCGAGAGGCCTGGATTTGCGGTAAGGAGTTGAGTGCAGGGAAAGTGCGCATTGCAGCGGGTCTGGATGCTTGATTCTGTAATACGGAATTTGGAGACAAGTGAGTAATATCAACATGCAGAAATTCGTCATGCTGGGGATGTACTGCTCGGAGTGAAGTGCCATGATTAGCTGAAGCTGGTAATGGGGAACTCTGGCCCAGCCTAAAATTTTTTCTCTGAATTTTCCATAGCTCAGTTTTATCATTTGCATGACAATGATCAGAACTCAAAATGCCAGTGCCCCACCTTAGACATGGTGCTAGGGAGTCACAGACATAACAGTGGCACTGCATATCATCAAAGATATAAATGAGAACAATAGAGATACAATATCGAATAGCAAATAAGGGATAAGAAATCGTGAAAATTACCCCCTGCTAAAGCAATAATTCCAAATTTTGACAAAGTCTGAACTTGCAATCTTTAGTTTTTTACCTGGCTACAGTGCCTCTCGTGAGGGGTGGAAGAGAAAGGAAATTTAGCACAAAGATGTCGGGCATGAGGATAGTCTCTGCATGCAATCTGCAAAGCAGAATTAAAATGAGTCTACACATCAGAAATGGCCTTGCTACAAGTAAATTTTTGGTACTCCTGTGGTACCAACTCCTTTGCAATTAATTTTCTATATGTAGCAACTTCTTTGTATTTTGAATTTCGATATAAATTTAAATCAGATAAAAATAACCATGCAAAAGTTGCTACTAGGACTGAAAAATTTTCTGATAGCTACATCTTCTCCCATTAGCAAAGGAAGGCATGAAAATAGTGAAATTGAGTAAACACACCCATGCACATAAACCAAAGAAAAATTTGGGAGAATAATCAAATAATAACATAAGCAGCAGCACAAAAGTAAGTTGCACTTGCACTAGAAACAAATGCCTCAACTAAAGAACAAATCTCATTTGAACTTAGATTTGTTCTTAATTATACTTATTCAAAATTATGGAACTTTGCTAAAAGTTCACATATCACTAAATCATCAGTGATCATCAAGTTGAGACATAGGGTATGAGGATGGAGGATACTCTAAAGCTTTGATTTGCATAGACTCTGGATAGAGCTAGCAACATTTAACTGTACCTTAGGGTCCTAATCAGGATCGGCAATTCTAATTTCAATCTTTGAATATGAAATCATTTATAGTATTTTTCTTATGAAAGAGAGAAGATGTATGGCCCAGGACCGAAGTCTTCTGCCATCTCAAATTTCCGCATATCTTCAGCCAACGTAAAGAAAATAAGGAAAAAAATATCTAAGCAAATCTTATGGAGAGGACAACTATTTCCATAGCCTTGGCAACCCAAAACTGGGGGAAAAAGATGAACTAAAAAATTCACACAATGTGTTAAAAAATCTTAAATCAGAGGAACTATGTCATGTCATCAAGCTGCGATGGAATATGAAGGCCAATTACAAACCACTACCGAAACGAAATGATAATGCTAAAGGAAGCACTATGAAGTCTTCAAGGAAATGTTTTCAGCTTTCTTCAGCTTGTTGGTGTTTCCTAGGGTCAAATTCATATATCAACGCTCCAACCAAATCTTAGTTCATATCAAATAACTGTAATTCCTATGCCCAAAGAGCACAAAAAGGCGGTCACAAATCAATAATTAAATTCCCCCAAAGCAAAACACACATTCCCAGCCACAAGTAAAGCAATAAACTAAGAATACAACGTACCTGACCCTTCTCCCCAACTACAAGCAACTCATCTGACTCAGTTGTTTCTTCTACCACAGAAGCGACACCGTTTTGAGGATCACCCTCCAAAACCACACAATCGTCGTCGTCATCAACAACAACATCCTTCACAACCAAAGTTGAAGACTTTGACTTCGACTCAGGTTTGTTCTCGCGGATTATGACAACCTCGTCAGAATCATCGGATTCTTCATCATCAGAAGTGAAGAGAAACTCTTTTATCCAATCAAAATCATTTTTTTTTAGACCCTTCTCCAAATCCTCTTCTTCGTCAGAACTTATATCCAATACCACAGACATGCTTCAACACCAAATCCCAGAAAAGATTTTGAAAAAACAAATTGTGTTTCTCGGAAACCTTAAAAAGTTTCGATTTTTGGAGCAAACCCGAAGTGGGCTTGTTCGAATTCTCTTTGAAAAATAGAAAGCCTGAAAAGAAGATTAAACAAAATATGACCTCTGCAATCCATGGAATGGGAAGTGATGTGTGCCCCAGACAGTAATTGAAATATCCTATCACCTAGTTAGAGATCTATGCAATAAAGAAGGAAGAAAAAAATTAGAAGATATTCATTTCAAAGAAGAAAAGGGATGGAGGAATGGTGTAGTTTGAGAATTGATGGATTTTGGAAGGAGAACAGTGTTAATTTGAGAAAGGCATTTGGAGAACTTTTTAAGTTGTGAGGGATGAGAATGGGAAAGAGAAGAGACACAGAGAGTGTGTTCATTTGTGCAGGGAAGTTTCATTTGACATTGTTTTTTTCCTTTTTCGTAAAATTAAGAGTGAAAAAAAGTTTATCATAATTAATGTCCGATTAAAAATTATTAAATACTTTTAAGTCATTGTATTGATACTTTTTATAATTTTTTAATATAAAGTTCCTATGTCATTAAATATATATTAAAAATTAATATTTTTATACATTTTAATAAAAAAATATTTTAAATCTTTAATTAGTATCTTAAAGATATTGCATTAGTAAAATTCATAAATAAAATTACATAAATATCATATTAATATATTTTATTAACGTTTAAACGGTTAAAAATTAAAAAGAGTATATTAAATATTTTAATTTCAAAATTTTATATATTTTGATAATCTCACTAAATAATATTGAGTATATTTAAAAAATAAGTGTAAAATATCTTTTGATTTTATAATGTAATATCGTTTTTAATTATTTTCATATAAAACGTTTAAGAAAAAATTTGCTTTTATTTGCTCATAATTTTTAAATTTTAAGATGAAACTATTTATTATTTTAAAATGATGTCAATCATTTTTTTTTATACTCGTATAAAAAAGACAACAAATTTGATAAAATATGAAAGTCAAAATAATACAAAAAATATATATTATTCATGTTGTATACATGATGAGAGATGTGATAAAAAAAAATGTATGTGATTAATTGTGAAAAAAATAAAGAAATATAAGATAATTTATAATATATAAATATTATTATTAAAATAATTAATAACAGAGACAATGAGCCTAAATACAAACCATTATAATAAAATATTAGTTTTCTTAATTTATGTGCTACACTTTTAAGAAACAGGTAAAAAAGAAAGTAAAAATATTTTAATTGTTTAATAAAAAATTTTAGCATCAGTTAATAAAATAAAATTTAAATATTTAAAAAATAAAATTGATTGAAAATGTAAGTATTTGTTACATAACGTGTAGGAAAATAATAATATTTACTTTTAATTTTGAAAATTCTATTTTTATACGGTCAAAATTAATTTAAAAGAAGAAATGTGAACAACGTGTAATATTTTTTTTTATATTTTTTGAGCAGTGATAATTAGAAGTTAATTCTTTTTTAATTGAGAAATTAAAGAAAATATATTATTTTTTAATTGATGTTTTACACATACACAAATAAAATTTGACTTTTATTTATTTATTTATTCAGTATGTTAAACATTTTTATAATAAATTTTAAATACAAATATTTATTGACGACATAAAAGAATTTGCTAATTTGTAAAATCGTTTTTCTCGCCGACAAAATTTCACATATCTAAGAAATATAATACGAAGTGGTATGGTTAATTGTTTATAAATAATTTCACTATTTAAATTTTTTTAATTTAAAATAAATAAAAGACATTAAATATATTTTTATTTATTCTTTTATTTAATATTAGAAAAACTGTTAAAATATATTATATATGTTTTTATTTGTCTTTTTTGTGAGGGAAAGAAAATTCTATCTGTTTTTTTATTTAAAATTTAAAGATAATACTGATTATTATTTATTTACTAACACTTATAAAAAAAAGTCAATATAATAAATAAAATATTTATACTAATTTAATTGTCTAAAAATAACGATGAAATTAATAAAAGATTAACTAAATACTTTTAATGAAATAATTATTGTTTAAATCACAGTAACATTTTTTTGCTCCAGATTTTTTAAATAAGATATTAGTAACGAGTATCGTAGTTAAAGAATTCAAAATGTTTGTTAATAAAAAGATAAAATATATTAAAAAATACATAAAACAAAATATTAATTATATTATAATAAAAAATACTCTAAATTTTTTTATTAATGCACTAAACAGTATTTATCTTTTTAAAAATTAATTTCTTACTATATGTCAAATTAAACGAAATTAAAATTTATTTGTATTTTTTTATTACAATTTATAAAATTTAATATATTAGTAGTATTAAATATTATAATTTTTACAAAAATAACGTCTACTAATTAATGTTATATATATTTAAGTTCGTGTTACACAAATGCCTAAGTTTTATTTCAAAGTTAAAAATAAATAAATTTAAAAGGTGAATAAAAAATAATTAACGAAAACTCATTCAATTTAAAAAAAACAAAAAGTATAAGAGTATATATTTTATTTTTAAAAATTTAAAAAAAATCAAAATAGAAAACAAACATACTCTTCAAGTTTTAAATTCTTCGCATAAAAAGTATGATAAATTGACGAGAGCGAATATGTTTTATATACTTTTAAATTAAAATAATTAAATATAATTTATGTTAATAAATGTATAATTAATATATTAAAATTAAGTTAATATATTATTTTATGTTTTTAAAATAAAAGAATCTGGTTTGATATGAAAAGTCAACAGTGTGACGTGAAGCACGTAAAAGGGTGGGCTGCTTCCTCGGAAAGTTCAGAGAAATAAAATGTTCGGCTGACTCACAGGCACACCTTTGTGTGCGGAAAAAATCATATTGACCACTGCACATATATACTTTCTCTTTATTAAACAATTTAATGTTATTTTTAAAATTCATAAACTAAGTTAAATATTATTTTAATATTTAATGTATATAATTATTATTTATTTTACTTCTTATAATTTTGAGAATTATTTAAATAGTCTATAATATAAATAAAGTATTATTTTCATTTCTAATACATACAATTATCAATATTATATGATTAAAATGATATTTTATTTAAATTGTAAATTATTTTGATAAATTTTTAAAATATAAAATTAGAATAATTGCCAATTATATATATACATAAATATAATAATATTTTAGTTGATTTAGAGATTCATGTGATAGATTTTAAAAATAATAAGACTAAATTTTAATGTAGGTATAATTTAAATAAAAATTTTGTTTTTTTAGTTTTAATATATTTTTTATATTTATATTTTATAGAATTCTTCTAGTTTTTTAAATATGAAATTTTGATTCTCTAGTTTTAATTACTTATATTTATTTCTTATAGCTTTTCAAATTCTATAATAATTTTTTTATCTCAAAATTTAAATTATATATATATATATATATATATATATGATTGTGCTTTTAAATTATTAAGTAATTTCTAAATTTTTCAGGGTAAGGAGAAAAATAAAATAAAAAATATAAAAATTACAAAATATAAAAATTGTTTATAATTAAAAGTCTAAAAATTATACTTAGAAGATAATCTAGAGGGTAAAAATAATTTTTAAACAGAAATTCTAAATGAATTAATTTGTCTAACCTCACGAATAATATAGTATATGATTATGTGAAAAAAATATTTACACGAGATAATGAATATCCTACGTAATAAAATATAATTTAATAGGATAATTTTAATTTATTTATAATAAGTTTCCCTGTTTTTAAATAATTACATTATAATAATTTTTTAATATGACATAAAAAAATTCAATAAATTACTTCAATTCAGTGCAGAAAATATATTCATTAGTATAAAAAAAGTAAATCTTGCTAATTATTTTTAATATTTTTCATGCGTGGGATTAAAAAAAATCGCTTAGTATATATATAAAAAATAATTCCCAAGACATTTTTTTTAAAAACACTTTTAAAAATCTTATCGTATGGAAGTTTTCTTAAAAATGTTTCAAAATAAATTATTCTTAACACATTATCATTCAAGAATTAAAAATTACAGCTTATGTGCGTATATAAACAAGTAAATAAGGACAATTGATAATTTTTTAACAATTTTTTTCTTAAATTCATCCCTAACACCTGATATTAACAAAATTAGTAAATTGTTCTTATTCTTATATGATGTATTTATTATACACAAGTATATCAATATTTACATATAATTTGTAAATATTGATTCTTGAATGAAACCGGTTTTAATTTTTTTGTAGTTTTATTGTTATATTTTCTCAATTCAAGTATCCTGACTATTTATTATTTTACTTTAACATTAAATTGTTTTTTGAATATTTTATTTTTTAACTTAATATTTATCTCACCATTTAATTTTATTTAATGGAGTGAAATTTTTATTATCAATAAATATAATATTTACTTTTTTCTAATTTTATTAAATTTAAAATAATTATATAATATTTTTATTTAAATATTCAAAATGAAGTACTTTTATAGATTTATTGGTATGTTTTATCGTTTCAAGTATTCATTGAGCATTTGTTATTTTACTTTAAAATTAAGTTATTTTTGAATTTTTCATGATTCTTTAACATAAATTTTATCTCACAATTTAATATTATTCAAAGTAATGAAATATTTATTATTAATAACTATATTATTTACTCTTTTCTAATTTTACTAAATTTATAATAATTATAGAATATGTTTTTTAAAATATTCAAAATTATTTAATGATAACGTTAGTTCTATTTTTTACCTTTTTAAATATTTTTTTGTCATTCATTTTTATAAATCTTTAATTTAATACTAATTCAATTTCAAAGTCTTTCATATATTTCCATAAACTCAATATTATATAAAAATATAATTTTCATAAATTTATTCATTTATTTATTATATATATTTGATTGACATCCGTGCGTATATTTATAAGGCATTTCAACAAATTAAACTTTTTTTTTATTAACAGCTTGTTTAATAAAAAAAAATATTTTTTGGTAGAGTAACTGGAAATGGTAATTATTAACTTTTTTAAGCTTTGCTCATTCTGACTTTATATTTTTAGTTATATTTAAAAGTAATTTTATTATTTGTGTCCTTGTTGTTTTTTAGATATTTTTTATTTACACGTTCAATTTCTTAAATATAATTTTCTTTACATTTGTTGTACTAAGAAAAAAATAATAATGTCATACAGTTTCTTAAATTGTTCAATTATTTTTGTCAAACACACTTTAATACATTTTAAAAGTATTTTTTTTATATTTAAAAATATTTTTTAATATTTAATAAGATACTGATAAGTCAAATTTAAAATCACAAATTAAATTATAATAAATTTTTATCATTTTTTTATTAAACATTCATATTTTATTATAAATAAATTTATAGTATAAGAA